AGATGAAGCAGCCTGTGTATGAGGAGCCATCGGATGAGGTGGAAGCCATGACCTACCTGTGTCGCAAACTAAGAGCTGCATTTACATTTCTGACCCCTCAGTCTAAGCACAAGGATGAGTCGGAGTTCCTCGCCACCATGCTGTATGGGCAGCCAGAGAAGAACAGCCACCGGTACCTGGGGCTGAAGACCAGAAACATCAATGGGAAGAAAATGGTCTACCTCGTTGTTTGATCAGTAACAGGTCAAGAGATAGAAGTGCTTTCCAAATGCAGTCTGTGGGATTAAGGAAGGTTTAGTGACTCAGCCATGTTTTCTACCCAGATCCTTCACAAAGTACAGCCCTACATTTGGAAGTATCCCCACTCTGGGCCCTGCTGTCAGGACCGTGAAAAGTAGGAGCAGACTGTTCAAGGAGAGAAGAGGCACACAATGTGGAATGCCTGATTGATTTCCCTCTAGATGGGTTCGGTGACTCCTGGTCCAGGTGAAGCCCCCATTTCTTGGGAGCTCACAGTAGTTTGGGGTAGTTATACCCACTGGTTTTGAGGACCAGATTTGAAGAAAAAAGCATGAGGCCCCACTCTGGAACTGGCCAGGGCGGGGCAGCCTCCAGCTGCAAGATCCACAGCTGCTGCCCACACAAAGCCCCAGATGGCTTGGCCTCCCCGGGAGTCCCTTTGCAGACCAGGGATATGGAGCCTCCTCGTCCCTACTCCTGATGGCTAGAGTTCCAGGTGCCTTGTGGGGAGTTCTAGGACTTCCCCTTGAGTTAGGGAAGGGATGGGAGCCCTTCAAGTCTGAAATTTTCCATTTACTCCTTCATGTTACTGCAGTTCAAGTCAACTTTTTATATTCTGACTAAGGAGCGTGGCTTTTGTTAAAAAGGTACATATGGGCTCATGGTGAAATACAGCACAGTCTATATATATATATATATATATATATATATATAATATAGCAGCATGTCCATTCATGGCTCGGGCACTTGATTATTTATGGCATATGCATTATATAGGAATAAGCAATGGTGGTTTATTGTTTAAAAGAAACAAGGGCTAATATATGTTATATTTTTACTTAGAAACACGTTTGTTTATGTAGATGTCACTTTAAGTTTTATCAGAATTAAATGCATGGTTTCTTCTGAGACTTGCAGTGATTTCTACCTGAGGGGCAGATACACCTGTGGTGCCAGGAGCAGTGCTGCATACCTGAGATCCCAGCCACTCAGGAGGCTGAGGCAGGAGGATCTCAAGTTGCAGGCCAGGTTTGGCAATTTAACAAGACCCTGTCTCAAAATAAACATTGAAGGGCTGGGGTTGTAGCCCAGTGGTAGAGCGTCCCTGGTTCAATCTCACTACTAAAGGAAACACACACACACACACACACACACACACAGTGCCTGTCCTCAATCAAGGGCCAGAGAAGAGGGAAAGAGGGACACCACTTTGGCATCTGGTCACCCTGACCTGTGCAGGAATGGCAGTGGCAGGCCCCCGTCCCCAGGTGCACATTTTCCATATCTTCCAGAGAACTAGGCAGGCTTAGGCTTCTCTGGCAGGTGAGAAAATGAAGCCTAGCAACTTGCTCAAGGCTACTCACACAGTAAGCATAAGGGCAGATATAGATGTTCTAACTCCATTGGTGGGGAGGTCATGGGCATGGCTGGCCCCCACAGGCCACTCCCTCCTGGAGCACACCTTCATATTAGATCACCTGACTACTGGACAAACTGTTAAAGAGTCCACATGGGGCTGAATGACTGCTTTTTACTGACGGAAGCTGGCTGCAGTGTGGTCAAACGCACCCCCCATGCACTAACTAGTCTGTGGGGTGTTAGCCCTATGGCAGGCAATGCTGCCTTCAGAGGTGACAACCAATGGGAGCAGGCAAGACTCATATGACTCCATGGATGGGTACAACCAGGCATGCTCTGCAAATTCAGCAACCAGCTAAAGGGTCTGCTTCCTCCAGGGGCTGAGCTGTCTCAGGGTTACTCTGGCTGCCTCCCAAGAAGGGAGCACCAGGGATGGGAGCAAGTGTTTCCCAGGACCAGTGCCAGCTAACAACTCTTGACCCAGTGCTGTGGCAAGAGAATGAGTTACTGATGAGCCTGAAGGGTCGTGGTCATAAACACATGGCTTGAGAGGGCAGCACAACCTGAGAGGCCTCAGAGAAGCACTGGGGGCCTGGTTACAGCAGAGTCCAGGAAGGAGGGCTCAGGAGCAAAGGCTGGAGGAGGCTTGGCTGAGGACCAGGATGGCAGATGCTGGTCCTGCCATATGAAACCAGAGTCTCAGCTTCTTGGTGAGAAATACAGCAGTCACAGGACAACCTCAGGCATGTTGGGGAAGGGGAGAAAACAGGGGTTTCCTCTTAACAGGAAAACCAAAGACAAGAAACAAAGAAACACAGACACACTAATTTTAACTATCAGGGAGATAAGAGTATCAAGCATGACAAACCAAAATTAAGTTTCTTTTGAAGGCCATTTTCACAGAACTTGGCAATAATTTCTGGAAGAATCTTTTGAGACTACCTTGTTCTCACTGTATTTTCAGCAACAGGGTAGGCATATTCTGGGACAACTGGGAGCAGTCAGGAACACCCTCCTGGCTCTCTGTATTGCACTGAAAAGACAGATGTTCTGGGGCTTTGTTCTCAATTTTTCCCCTCACTAATTCAGAATGGCTAAAGAAACTTCAAATGCTGAGAGATCTTCCTCTAGCTACAGGAGAGTGGGGTATGTCCTTCATCTATTTCAAACTCTTTTGTTTACTGTGAAGACTTGAATTTTCAAGGTCTGCTTCTAGGATTTCACTAGTTAGCACTAAAAGCAAAATGTAGGCCTTTAGACCTTTTTGTTATTTGTAGAATGGTGAGGATGAAAAGGATTGTACTTAACAGCAAAATGGGATGCCATCAGGAATTAACTTTTCCTAGTCCTCCCCTGCTGCAGTTTGGATCATGAATGCCCCCCAAAGGCCCATATGTTAATGGCTTGGTCCCCAGCCTGGTGCTATTTGGAGATGATGGGCCCTTTAAGAGGGGAAGCCCAGTGGAAGGAAGTTCGGTCACTGGGGGAGTGCTCCTGAGTGGGATCCTGGGACCTCACCTAGTCCCTTTCTGGGCCCCCCTTTTGCTTCCCAGCCATGAGGCAAGAGGTGCTGCTCTGCCACACACTCCCCTCATGACTACTGCCTGGCCTAGAGCAGCAGGACCAACTGATCATGGACTGAATCTTTATAATTATGAGCCCAAACTAACTTTGTCTCAAGTGTTTGTTACAGTTAACAGAAAGATGACTATTAGTCATACATTAGCTTTAGGTTTTAATCTGCATTTGGTCACTTTTGATGTTCAGATTTCCTTTCAGTCTTCTCCGAAATACGATGTACAATATTTGTTCAGTATTGTGACACATTTTAAGACCACATTTATCAATAATTTATAAGTATTACTGTCGTGACACACGACTAAACCGATCAGGGTCACTCCAAGTGAATTTTGGCTGACTAAATAAACACACAGACATGGTAAGTACCTTTCCAGGTTCAGGACCACTCTTCAGCCACAGCTTCCACAAGGGGGGTAGGGCAGGCAAGAAAGAGAGGGAGCACACCTCAAACCTGGGTTTTATTGGGGGGATGCCATTCAAATGAGGCAAGGGGCCAGGTTGAGTTTAACTTCAGGGGGTTGAGTCTAGCTTTGTGATGTCTTCCTGTCAGCAGGTTGACTGACATCTTGGAAGGCCATGCCCATCTCATACGCTGTGTAGGGATCACAGGCAGAGTGAGCGAAAGGGACACATATGTGCACAGCCCAGACAGAGCAGCATCCTCAGTCCAGTCCACTTTGTGCGCTCAAAATGCTCATAGCTCACACATACAGCCCATGGCTGGCTCGCCACATATTACCATAACATTTATGCAACTATTTTCCCCACCAAGCCCATTCCTAAAATCTGTGGGGCGCAGGGCCAGAATATAAATCTCCTTATGTACAAATATTTGAAAGCTATAAGATATGCAAACTGTTACATACGATGTTATATCCACTTACCTTGATAAATATACCTTTATAAGAACAAAACAAAAATTATGTGTGGAACTCTGACTCCTACATAACTAAAAATTGGCAAGAAATCAAAGATAACTGAATTGAATTGTCATTATGCATTTTTGGGCTGCTAATGACTAGATGAGTAATAAAAATATGTAATCCACACATTATTTATTCCACAAATTTTATTTTTCTTGTCTTCTTCAGAAAAATCATTGTGTTAATGTAATAAATATTTCCACATAATGGTGTTCTTGACAACAGTGCCAAATAAAAACAATTGTGTATTCACTGTAATTATGAATAGGACTCCTTAAGTTTTAGATTCAGAATTAAATCATGAATATTAATATCATGTTTAAATATTACTAGGAAGGTACATATGAAAAATTATGACAGAAAACATTACATTTGAAACATTACATTACATATGAAAAATTATGACAGAAAACATTACATTTCTCTATCATTATCTAGTGTTACTGTTATTTCCCAATTAGTACTTTTTCTTGGAACAACAGGATTTCTTTAAGTTCTTCTTCTTTTACATTTTTCAATGCCAGCATTTTAAAAACCTAAAAATTAAAGTGGATCTCTTGTCATTTTGCTCAAATCTTTCTTCAATAGAAGCTATATCTTGAGCTATAGTGACCAGAAAATAGTCTCTACAAAAATTAGTTTCAGGATTATGCATAAATATTTCCTGGTTCTAATTTCCCTACATTGTACCTGAATGTCATTTTAATGATTATTTCATATGCAGTCTATTTTCTGAAACCACTTTTGTCTAAAACTTTATGGAATACTTTCAATGATTTTGGATTTTTGGTAAGCTTTTTCTAATAACTGAACAACTTTTTAAAATTAACTCTTGGTTGTGCTAAAGACCACAATTTGCTCTTAGCATTTCACTTAACTCTTACACTGCATGCAAACTTATTTTTTTTTTTTTAATATTTATTTTTTAGTTCTCGGCGGACACAACATCTTTGTATGTGGTGCTGAGGATCGAACCCAGGCCGCACGCATGCCAGGCGAGCGCGCTACCACTTGAGCCACATCCCCAGCCCAGCAAACTTGTTTAAAATAAGTCTGCTGTAGCATTCATGGGATTACCACAGTGTACCTCATAGGTTAAATCTGACATGCTTCATCAAGTTCATTGGGCAGATCTGGAAAACAAAAACAAAAACAATCTATGAATCTAGTATATTATCTTTAAAGGGATTGGAAGAATATCATTGTTGTAAGCAAAGCTGATGTCTACTAGTGAGGAAATAAAATGCTTGCTAACTCTTGCCCAGGTCCGAGTGGTTCTAGTCCCAGGTATTATTGCTAAAATCCTCCTATTGATACTGCCAGTTACCTGCTTCTTCACGTGTTGAAGCATAATATTAGAGAAGCACGCTGTGGCAAGCATGTAAAACAGGGTTTGTATACAAAAGGGGTAACATAGACTTCTCCCCAGAGGAAGAAGGGGGCCATAGCTGGTATCCTGGTATCCCAAGAAGTGAGGGTGTTCTGCCTTTTTGTATAGCCTAGGCTTCTTTTGTTCTCCTGCTCTTTCCCCTTATCTCTCTTCTTTCTTGTGCATGACTAGGTCCAGGAGATGCTCTTGGGATGGCCAAAAGGTGGGAGACAGGCCAGCTGGAGGAGTCAGGGAAGAGTGTTCTGGGCAGGAAGGGGGCCCAGGGTGAATTAATTAGCAACTTTTACAACTCCCTGTAGGGAGGGACAATTCCTGGGGCAGCTTACCTTAGCAACAGGTGGGAGCAGGGGCAGGTTCTTGATAAAGGTGGAGGAAGGGCTCTGAAGGAATTAACATTTCAATCCCTCCATTCTCTGGATTTGACCCTTGCCTATCTGCCTAATTCTGGCTTCACTATAATTCTCAATTCCCCAAAGGAATGAGTCCCAGACACCAGTCCCATTTAAATGCAACTTTAAATGTGGAATTGACAGATGTAGGGTAAATTCTGGTCTACGAGATACAGTTGCAGCCCCATAGGCAATGAGTGAATATGTCTCACAGAGCCTGGGGAATTGGTCCAGAGATCCCACTAACTATGCAGGATGTCGAAGAAGACTGTGGCCTGGTGAAACAGAACAGTGAGACCTGCCGCTGCAGCAGGTCATCTCTCCCACAGAACAAAACCCCTAAACCACCGGGGAAGAGGCGTAGCGAATCCTGTTCTCCCCCAAAGCTCACGTGAAGACCCACTGCGTTTAGGGAGAGGCCAGGAGTGGAGTCCACAAGCCAAGTTCAGCCTGCTGCCTTCAGAATCCGTGCCTGTAACTCCGCAGACTTATTAGTGCTTCCCATTAACGGGGTCCAGGAGTGGGGCGGGCATTTCAGGGCCAAATAACAGCGGGCTGAAAAGGGCGCGAGGCGCAGACCACCAGGGGCGTCGCCGGCCACTGGGAGGCTTCGAAGGCGCAGCGTCGGGTCCGAGGCCACACACGCCGGGGCTCCTGCTGACCCAGCCCGTCGGCCCGGGGGTGGGCAAAGCCCCCTCCCGCGTGCGGGACGACAGGACGCAGCGAGCTAACAAGGTCCGGCGACTCCGACCTGCGACAGCCCCGGGGGCCGGGCGCCTCGGGGAGGTGCGAACGGCAGGCAGAGCCCGCGAGTTCGGCCGGGGAGCAGCCGGGTCACAGGTTCCACGACGGAACCGGAAGGACGCGACGGAAGCGGAAGCGGAGCCGGGCCGCGCAGGCGCCGTGGAGCCAGGGTCGCGGCGGCGGGCAGCGGTGAGTTCCTGTGCGGCGGCCAGCGTGCGGTGGCCGGCCTGGCGCTCTCTGGGCGCCTCCAGCTCGCGGGCTCCTGCCTTGGCCGGTCCCGGCTGTCTTCCGGCTGTGAGCGGAGGTGGGCGGCACGGCCGTCGGGCACCGGGACGGGGATGGGGGGCGCTGAAGGGCCGCGCGCGCCTATGGCGGGGCCGGCGGTGCGGAGCCCTGCTGATCCCGAGAGCTGGCTGGGAGGCGGCCGGTGTGGACTCGGAGTGACTGGGCTGAGGCCACGCCGTCCCGGGACTGTCACCTGCCGGTTACCTGCTACAAGGGCACCGCGCCCAGCAGCCTCGGTGGGGGTCTAGGTCGCACCAGTTAAGATGCAAAGTGGAATTAGGTTCGCTCGCATCCAGGATTTTCACAAAAGTCACCCGAGGTCTGCATCGGGGCTGGCCAACAACAAAGCTCCTACTGCTGGGCGCACTGCACCTCCCTGGAGTCGTTGGGGTGAGGGGGTCACAGCAGGGAGCCAAGGGGCTGACTCCTAAGGTTGTGCAAGAACTTTGAAAGACAAATAGAAATTCTTTAAGCAAAATGATCAGATAAAGCTGAATGATCTACCAGTCATAAGTTTTCTTGAACCCATCAGACAGCAGGCATCACAGAGGGATCTCTTATCCTATCTTGAATGACCTAGCTTCCTAGGCCCAACAGACCATGGGAGGCCTTGCCATCCAAGCTGGTAAGTAGTCAGCTAAGTTTTAATGAAATGCTGAATACCAGCTGTTTTAGTCAGCTCTTTCACTGTTCTGACCAGAAGACATGACAAGAACAATTAGAGGAGGATAAGCTTACTTGGGGCTCACAGTATCAGAGTTCTCAGTCCACAGACAGCCAGCTCCATCCATCATGGCAGAAGGCTGTGGCTGGGGATCAGGACACGACAATCAGGAAGTAGACTTCCCTCACCAGGGACAAAATATATACCCCAAAGACATGCCTTCCTCCTCCAGCCACACCCCACCCATCTACATTACCAACCAGTTTATCAGTTTTAATGCACCAATTAGGTTAAGGCTCTCTTAATCAGTCATTTCACCTTTAAACTTTTTTTTTTTTGGGGGGGGGCAGCTTCTGGAGATTGAATTCAGGGGTACTCAACCACTGAGCCACATCCCCAACCCTATTTTGTATTTTTTATTTACAGACAGGGTCTCACTGAGTTGCTTAGCACCTTGATTTTGCTGAGGCTGGCTTTGAATTCTCAATTCTCCTGTCTCAGCCTCCCAAGCCACTGGGATTACAGGCATGTGCCATTGCTACCAGCTAAACTTGCTTGCATGCGCTTTTGAGAGACACCTCATATCCAAGCCATAACACCAGCTATACCAAGTGTGGACTAGGGTTGGTGTATAGAGCCCCTGGGAGCCACAGAAACAAGGAGAGTTTGCAGTCACTCCGGACTCTTCACCAGCATGCACTGTGCTGTGGAAAAGATCCAAGGCAGGGGCAAAAATGCTTCCTTGGTGGTGCAGACTTGGAGGAAGAGGTGGCTGCTGCTCCAGCTGTACCCTATCATTTGAGGTCTCATATACTTGGGGAAGGGGCGGGATTCATGACACATCCACACATCCAGGGTCACAAGGCCTAGGCCTGACGGTAAAGGAAAGATAGAACTACTACTGTGCAGATGACAGTGAGTAGCATGCAGTTGTACCTGCAGCCTCAAGTGATGGTGCAGCAGATGTTGAGAACATTCTGGACAAATAGATCTCACACCCGAGCAAGGTATTGCTGGGGAAATATAAAGCCTGGCATACTCTAAGGATAACAGTAGCAACTACAAAACCCAGACCTATGTCAGCTGCTAACTAGAATGATTCAATACCCAGTACTACAGGCTCAGCAGAAACAGGCTTGTTTTCAGGCGTAAGTACTGCTTACCTCCATTCCAAACAGTGTCAAGTTTTCAACCAGAATAGCAAAACAAAAGGCCCCATTGCCAAGGATCAAACAATCAGTAGAACCAGAAGCAGATATGGCTCAGATGTTAGAACTGTCAAGATGGAGTTTAAGCATGATTAATATATTAAGAGCTTTAGTGAAAAAGGTAGACAGTATGCATATACAGATGGGCGTTTCAGCAGAGAAGGGAGCAGAAAGAGTTGATGGAAATGCTAGCAAGAAACAGCAGAGGCACAGAATGCCTTCAAAGGGCACAGCAGTTGACTTGCTATAGGTAAGGGGGAAAATCAATGAACTTGAAGATAGGTCAATAGAGATCGCCCAAACTGAAATACAAGGAGAAGAGAATGGAAAACCCAAAGTAGAGCATCCAAGAACTGGGGGCCAGTATCAACTGGCATTAACATTTGCAGTAGCAATTTCAGCAGAAAAGAGAAATGGAGCAGAAGAAATATTTGTATTTTTCAGAACTAATGAAAGATACCATCCACAGATTGAAGAATTTGCTTACAGCAGCATCATCAGGATAAGTAACTTCAAAACAAAAGAACAATCCTGGAAATTGCTGAAAGCCAAAGATCAAATCTTCAGAGTAGCCAGAAAGAAATTCTGTAGAGATGAGGGGAAAGTCTTGCAGGTAGAAGGAACAGTAGGAGTGAAGGTGAGGAAGTGAGTTTTTGCTGGATAGGTAATTAGCCCCTAGAACTAGCTGCCTGTGGAAAAAGGTCATATCCAACTAAACAGCCTTATATGCCTAAGAAGGGAGCTCACTCCAGCCAGTTGGGAGCCACTTAGGGCTTCCTCTCCCAGCACAATGTGTAGCTTTGGGTTTTTAATAATCCTCTTGAATTTTATCATGATTTTCCTGTATCTATTGATATGACCATATGATTTTCTTCCCTCTGTTAGTGACATGAATTGTACACATTGGTTTTTGAATGTCAAACCAACCTTGCATTCCTGGGACAAATCTGCTGTCACAATCCATTAGACCTTTGAATTCAACCTGCTAATATTTTGTTTACTTGTGTTGATGTCCATGAGGATGTCGGTCTGTAGTTATGTGATAAAAGCTTTGTCTAGTGTGCGGTGTCATGGTAACACTGGCAGTTTGGTGTCTACAAAATATTGATATCACAAAACCCCAGGAAGTGTTCCTTCTGCCTGCAGTGCTAGAAGAGTTCACATAGGATTAATGCTACTTCTTCACATGCTTGACGGAATTAGACAGTAAAGCCAGCTAGGCATGACATTTTGAAAAATGTATTTTTGTTTGTTTCATTTTTGGAGAAATTTTTAATTATAAATTTCATTTTCTTAGTAAAAATAGGGCTTGTAGGTTTCCAGTATCTTCTGAGTCACTTTTGATAATTGGTGTATTTACTGTTTTATTTTTTAATTTATTTATGTTGGTCCTGGAGATTGAACCCAGGGATTTTTCCCTTTTAATATTTTTAAATATTTATTTTTTGGTTGTAGTTGGACACAATAGCTTTATTTTATGTGGTGCTGAGGATCGAACCCAGGGCCTCACATGTGCTAGGCGAGCGCTCTATTGCTGAGCCACAACCCCAGCCCTGCCCTTTTTATTTTTGAGACAGGATCTCACTATATTACCCACGCAGGCCTTGAACTTGCATCCTCCTGCCTTCAGCCTCCTGAGTCCTCGGATTACAGATGTGCATCACTGTGACTGGCTGATGATTGGCTGATAAATGGTAAAAATTTTTGGTTAAAAGTAATACACGATGTTCCTTTATTATCTGCAAAGTGTTTCTAGTCTTAATGATGCTGCCTCTTTCATTCCTGAGAGTAATAATTTATGTCTTCTTCAACTTTTCTTGATCAATCGAATTAGAGGCTATCGATTTTATTTAACTTTTGGAATACGCAGTTTGGCTTTATTGAGTCTTTTTCTGTTGGCCTTTACCCCATTTCTTTGACTTCTGTTTCTTTTTTTATTATTATTTTCTTCTTTTCTACATGTGTTGGGTGTTATTTGCTTTCTCCTCCTAGCTTCTTAAGAAATCATCACTATAGGATTGAGTCTAAATATTCTTTTCTAGTGTAAACATGCAAAGTCATGAAATTCCTTCCTAAAAACCATGTAAGCTGCATTCTGCACATTTTGGTGTGTTGTATTTTAGTTTTCATATAGTTAAAAATATTTTCTAATTTGTCTTGTGATTTCTCCTTTGGACTATGGCTTTTTAAGAAGTATATTGCTGAATTTCTAAGTATTTAGGGAATTTCCAGGTACCTTTCTGTGATTGATTTCTAATGTAGTTGTTTCATAGTTGGCGTACATACGTGACAATTCTCATCTTTCAGAGCTTGAGGCTGGTGTCACAGCCCAGCAGTCCATCTCGAGCACACTCAAACATCACATGCGATTGTGAGCAGGTCTTGGGCTTGCTCTGAGCTCGGGATTTCTTGTCTGTAAGGGAGGCTTGCATTTTGTGGGTAAAAAATATGCACCAGACCATCGAGTGTCTGAGATGGGGGTTTGTGGTTCTGAAGGTGTGTTAGTCAGCTTTCTTGCTGCTGTGACTAAAGGACCTGACCAGCACAATTGTAGAGGTGAAAAGGTTAATTTGAGGGCTCACAGTTTCAGAGGTCTTAGTCCATAGAAGGCAGGCTCCAATCTTGGGGCTCAAGATGAGGCTGAACGTCACGGCAGAAGAGTGTGGCAGAGGAAAGCAGCTCACATCATGAGGAAGCAGAGAGAGAGACTCCACTCACTAGATACAAAAGTACACCCCAAAGCCACGCCCCAGTTCCCACTCCTCCAGCCACACCCACCACTTCAGTTAATGCCATCAGGGATTAATTGACTGATGAGGTTAAGGCTATGCCCCAATCATTTCTCCTCCAAGCCTTCTTGCATTGTCTCACACATGAGCTTTCCGGGGAAAACATATCCAAACTATAATAGAAAGTGACATGCCCTGTCTTTTCATCTTGCAGATGGCATCTGAGGCAGAGTGCTGTCCTCTGGGTGTGTTCAAGTGCCAGCTCTGTTCTGTGACAGCTCCATACAGCTATGTGGGGCAGAAGCCCCCCAACACCCAGGCTGTTGTGTGAGTACATGTTTTGGGAGCCAGTGCCCGGGGTGGTTTGGCGGATGCTGGGCCAGAGTCTGACACCTGGCTTGGGTGTTGTGCCTCAGGCCTGTTCCTGCCCAGGCTTTGGGTGTTTCAGGTGTGACCGGTAGAGGCCCAGGCAGGACTTGAGGGCTTCTCGGATGTCCAGCTCCCAGGCTTTTCCTCCTAGCACAGCCCAGGGTTCAAGGACTGTTCCAGCACGGGGTAGAATCTGTGGCCACGCTGAAACATCCCAGCAGTGGGCAACAGAAGCCATGGTGGCCTCATCATTTGGGGCTATGCCCTATTGTCTGGTGCTACTTCCTGGGAGGGACACCGTCTTCCTTGCTGTCCCGGTAGACGTGAGTGTTGAGGACCACCTCATGTGGGTCTGCCCACAGCAACCAAGAGTGGACCTGGTCTAGCACTTGCTTCTTGACCTTTCCATGTCAAATCAGAGGCCACATGGGGGAAAGCCGACCATGGCCCACTGGCAGGGGCACCAGGCTCCTTTCTTCTAGCTGTGGTTCTTCTGCTGACCAGGAATTGTGTCACCATGTAACCCTGCTGGTGTGAGAGCTGGCAGCTTGGGGGAGCCTTGTGTCCACACCCAGTGGTGAGACTGGGGTTGGGACACACTGGGACAGCCCTTCTTGTTATTAAAAAGGACTTCTCTCTACACAGATGGCTGGTGTAGACCAAGACTGGTTCAGGTCTCAGTTCTCTCCTGGCCTGCAGTGGCTTGGCCATTCTGTCACTACCCTGTGGCAGAGGTGGACAGTCCCTCCTCTGCTGAGCCTAGGCAGGGGTGCAGGTCCCAGCAGGTCCCCTATTGCACAGCCAGTGCCGTGGCTCGCAGCCAGGTGTCCACTGGCTTAGGTTGGGCTTGTCTCCTGCAGCCTGCTGGAAGAGAGCTACGTCATGAAGGACCCCTTCACTTCAGGCACAGACAGATTCCTGGTCCTTGGGTCCCGGTGCAGCTTGTGCAGCAGGCTGGTGTGTGTGGGTCCGGTGGGTAAGCCGCAGGGCCAGGACTGCCTGTCCTCACTGTGGGGATCTGGGGGCCCGCCCGGCACAGGTGGAGCCAGGGAAGCCTTTGTCGGAGGGCAGGTGAGGGTCAGGTGGAGTGTCTTGGCCTGGACAAGGAGTAGAACTAGATCCTTGCACTGTGGTACTGGCATGTGGCCAGTGTGACCAGAGAAGTCCTGGAGGCTGAGAAGTCCATGAGCATCTGCCACAGAGCAAAGCACACAAGAGGGAACAGACACAGACAGCACCAGCCCACCAGCCCACCCCTCAAGGTCGGCTGATGAGGGCGTGGCCGAGCCTTGCACAAGCAGGGGTCAGGAGAGGTGGTGGAGGGTGAGGCACAGGAGAGCAGGTGAGCAGAAGGGAGGTGGCCCACACGGGTATCTCCATGGCAAAGGACTGCTTCCAAGAACTCAGGCAATTTGGTTAGTAGTTGAGGCATATTCCATGGTGCTAAGGGGTTGGAGAGAGACCCCCAAAATAGGGTGGTCCAAACAAGAGATACAGTTATTTACTCATTTTCTTATATATGAGTCTATGACAGGCAGTCCTTGCTGGGTGGACTGTGCTGCTATCATCAACATACAACATCCACTTGGGTCCACTATGGCTCTTGTAGCTTCTACCATCACATGTATATCCCAGCTAGCAAGAATGGACAAGGGAACATATGTCCCTTCCTTTGGAGGGCATGATCAGGAGGTAGCATACTCATGATGACACCCCTGACCATACTCGCCACATGGCCATACCCAGTTGCAAAGCGGGCTGGGAAGTGTCCTGACCTGGGTGCAAGGGGGAATCTCAGCAGTTCTAGTATTGAGGGTCATGAAGGAGAGTGGACGTGGCTGGGAAGGTCTGGCCTCCTGCCCAGACCAGTCACTGATTGGTGGCCTCTCAGGTCTGTGGGGCTGTCCCTCTCATCCCCTGCTACTCCTGGCTCAGGCACTTGCCAAGGCCCTGTGCTGCTGAGATAACCAAGCAAGGACTCAGGACTCCAGCCTGAAGTGGGCTTTACTCCTGATGGAGCAGGGCAGGCCCGGCATCTGTCCCCCCGTACCCCCTGCCTCCTGGATGCCTTGCCAGACCCTTAGCTCTTGCTGCTCTGGCTGTGGCCCCCGCCCTCCCTGTGCCTGTGGGGGGCCGCTGGCAGCTCTGGAGGAGCAGCAGTGTCCAGGCCGCTCACTGCCCCCTCCCCTGCCCCAGGAGTGCAGCTTGTTCTACAGCAGGAGGTTCTGCCTCCCTTGTGTCCAGGACAACATCAGTGCCTTCCCTCGGGAAATCCAGCAAGACGTGGAGAAAAGGAAAGGTCCTAAGCGGCCCTCCAGCCAGCCCTGTCCTTGAACGTGAGTGCAGTCTGTGCCAAGTGGGCAGCAGTCTCCTGTGCAGAGCTCCTGGCCTGGTAGGGAGCAGCATCTGCAGCCCAAGGGAGTGGAGGAGCCGTGCCAGGAGGTGGAGCAGACAGCCTGTGGGTCCAGCCTGGTGCTGCGGAGCTGCCCCTAGGGCTGAGGATTCTGAGTGAGAGGGAGACTCCCTTCAGTGGGCAGCTCGGGTAGCCTGGAAGGCGCACACATGAGGCCTGGAACATGGTGGAGGGCCACACTGCCATCTGTGCACAAGGAAGTCACTCTCCGAGGCTGCCTTCATGCACAGCAGTAGGTCTGGGGGACAGGATTTTTTCTTTACACCCTTATGTAAGCTTGGAAATGTCCTGCATCTTGACCACTCACTGCCCATTACCGACATGACTGAGAACCTGAAGAGCCCACCAATGCTTTGAAAAGAAATTCTTCCACAAGACACTTGGAGACTGGATGTCCCCATAGGCACTCTGGGATGGCAGTGTGAAGATGTTTTTTGTGGACACTTTGGGCAAGACATCATGCACAGGCAGTGGAGGGGTGCTGGGAAGGCAAGTGTCGGCTTTCCAGCTGCTCAGGCTGGCTCCAGCCCGGGCCCCGCTGCACGCTCTGCCCTGCACTCTCAGGTCAGGAACACTGGCTTCCTTCCCTTATGCCACCCCTCGCCACCCTGCACTCAGCCCTCTAGTCCCACAGCCTCCCAGGGGTCCCCGTGTCTGCTTAGAGTCTCAGAGGCAGGAACTGCTGCCTTACTCTGTGACCACGGCAAGGCCGACCAGCAAGTTGGGTGAGATATAAAGATCTTTGATGTGTACACTGGATTTTATTTAAGAGCTTCCTAGGGGCCGGAATTGTGGCTCGAGTGAGAGCGCTCGCCTTGCACTTGTAAGGCACTGGGTTCGATCCTCGGCACCACATAAAAATAAAGGTATTAAAAAAAAAAAAGCTTCCTGTTTCGTGTACTTCAGATTCATGGATATCATGTTCTGGGGCCACATTGTCCTAGATCCATTCTGTCCTGCAGGGCAGAAGGTGACCCTGTGGTGACTGCGAGCTCCAGCAAGGGCAGTCCCAGAGCAGACCCAGCTGGGCTCAGTCTGTACAGAGCAGCTCTTCTCACAGCATCATTCAGGACTCACCGGGTAATCTTAAAAAATAGTTTATTTTTTAAAACCATTAAGGCAAAACTGTGCCCTGAAATTAACCTTTTACATTCACCAGTCTTACAGTAGGACATTCCAAACCTAAGTTCTCATGAATTCAGGAAACAGATCAACGAGTGTGGTCAGTTCACTCTCCTAAGAGGAAAGTGAAGACCCAAGATCTAAAAGAATTAAGGCCATGCTATAGCCATTTCCACATCACCTGGAACCAGTTACCATGACTAGAAAAATGACACCTGCTTTCCTGTGCACACCCTGGATTCCTGAGGTCCTGGATGTCCCCATACCTGGGGAGGACCCTGGAGCCAGCTTGATGATTCCAACTTGAAACTACTGCATTTACTAGAGCGAGGAGAGGGCTCTGAGCCCGAGCACTGAGGGCGAGAGGCACATAGGAGCAGTAACCATGACTGGCAAACGCTCTCCCCAGGGTTTTAGCATAACAGCACGGTGGATCCCTGTGGGTGTCAAAAATATACACCACAAAGAAATTTGGCCAAGAAACTGAAAAGGACGTGTGGGAGGCTCCTAGGCTCTGTGCTTCTGGTTGGGCCATCGAAGGCCACCATAGAACCTGCAGGTGCAAACAATAGTGTTCCAGATGGCTAGAGCTCTTTGGTAGTAACCCATAGGTGGTGCCCTGAAGAGCAGGAGCTGTTTACCAAGCAGGAATACACAATGGTCCAATCAGAACACTAGTATGAAGTGACCTGCAACCTGGGGTCTGCAGAGGCTTTGCTGGTAGAAATGCATAAAGACAGACTTGCACTTCTGCATGTAGGGGATGCTGAAGGGGGATCTACACACTGAGATAAAGCCTGCATGGCTCAGAAGAGAAAAACTGGTGTGCGTGTGTGCGCGTGCAATTGCATTTCAGTTGTTTTGTCTCAGCTTCATTTTCAGTAGGTTCACAAGTCAGCCTTTTAAGCATGTACATCACAAACGCTGATTTAAGAAAACAAATGTTTGCTGTTAGATGTATGATTGCAAGTTAGCTGTTTGTATTTTTTTTTTTTTTTTTTTTGGTACTGTAATTGAACCCAGGGGTGCTTAACCACTGAGCCTCATCCCCAGCCTTTTTTTTTTTTATACTTTATTTGGAGACAGGGTCTTGCTGAGTTGCTTGGGGCCTCGCTAAGTTGCGAAAGCTGGCTTTGAACTTGTGATCCTCCAGCCTCAGCCTCCCAAGCCTCTGGGATTATAGGCGTGTGCCATCACGCTGGTTATATTGGGATTTTTTTTTGAAAACTCAAGTCACAGTATTTAAGATACAGTTATTGACGTGATTCTTTTTACCATACAGTGTTGATAAGGTAGTGGCATTCAACATGAGTAATACTGTAACCTTACCAAGAAGGGCATTACGTGGTGTTCACTTATTGTGAGGTATATTTCATTTTAGGCCTGGAAAAGGAACTGACTGTGTCTTTAAAGAATGAAGTTTCCAAAAGTGATGGACTCTCCAGAAGGCCAGCCACTGGGCGATCTCCAGGGCCAGAGCCCATCCTCCCTGACTAAAGGCAGAGGTGAGGCCCCAGGGGTTCGGGGAAGGTGGAGAGAGGGTCCCTTGCAGTTTGGGACACGGCAGCTCACACACCCCTGCCGCTGGCCTCACCGCTTGTCCTAGGCAGCACCACGGTGGTGCCAGGGCTGGCTTGTGCCTGGCATCCATGGTGCCATGTCAGTTCATCAGATTCAGGGACTTGTGATGGCGGGGAAGACAGTGAGAGCAGGAGGCTGGTCTCTCTTCTCAAGAAAAAACCTTGGAGGTTTTCACTGTTTAGCCGACTGGCAAACTTTAAAACAAAACAGAACATCACAGGTCTCACTGCGCTGTCTGTGAAGTAAAAATGGACGTTCCTTGTTTCTCTTTGCCATCAACAGCTGCAGGGCCATTAAGTGCTGGTCGTGGTCAGGTGCCCTGATCCCACTGCGGTGTGGATGGACACCACTGGGTCGTACTCGCTGGCTGAGAACTCGGAGAGGATCTGGCAACATGTATCTCAGCGGGACCACGGGAGTGGGGGGTGGGGGAGTAGCCCGGCTTCCCTCCCAGGAGGGGCTCTCTAGGGAGAAAGGAACCCATTAGGTTTCTCATGTCTCAGACTGAGACTCTGAGAAGCAAGTGGGCGGCTAACGGGACTCCAGCTCTGAGAGGCCTCAGGGGTCCTGGGGCTACTCACAAGGGGACAGCAGCCTCTCCCTGCCCTCTCAGGAGGGGCCACACACCACCTTTTTCTGATGAGCCTGCAGCTCTGCTGAAGTAAAGTTTGAGAACTCGCTGCAGCCCACTGAGGTGCCCCAGGGACAGCACTGTGTGTCATTAAGCCAGAGCATGCATAAGGGTCCTTATCTGTTTTCAAACAAAATTTCCAATTTCACATTTCAGTGTGACTTTAAAGAAATAAAATGGCCTCCTACATTCATAGCCAGACCAAATCTATTGCTCTAATTCCTACCCTAGTCTGCTTAACAGGCGGGGTGTGGGGGGGCGGCAATGAATTTTCCTCAATTCTATTAAAATGGCACCTAATTATGTGTGTGTGTGTGTGTGTGTGTCCCAGAAAAAACCTAGACACCAACCTTTGAGCTCTCTGATATTTCTAGATAGAAGGTCTTGGAGGAGTACATGACTTGGAGAAAGGCCAGGTGATGAGTCAGTGATGTAGAAGATCCCTTGGTAAGAGGTCCCCGGCTGTCACCAGCACAGCGGAGGCAGATGGAGACCTATCTGTCACCACCCTTTGTTTGCTGCTCAAAGCTGAGCTGCCTTAGAGCTTTCTCTGTAATATCTGTGGACGTGATGTCTGAAGATGGGCTAGACTGTCAGCTCTCACTGTCCCTGTCCCTGGGAAGGTATGCAAGTCCCCTGTGATGACGACTCATTGGTCAGAAGTGTGCCTGTGCAGCTGCCCAGATCTTAGTGCTACTTATAAAGTGACAAATAAAGACAACCCCCCCCCCCATGGCAGTGCCAGCATCACACTGAAACAAGCGTCCTGGGACACCTTTTCATAATCAGCTCAGTGGCATCAAGTTGACTTGCAACTTCTAGAAAGTATGATGCCCTTGCCTACCTTGAGTCTACACCACATCCTTAACTTAGAGGAAGACTCATGAGGTAACTCCTCAGGGCACTGCCTCAAGTCCCCAGGCCACCGCAGTCGGCAGCTTCAGCCGCAGGAACGTGGGCTGAGCAAAGGGCGACCTCCCAGGTCCTGGAGACTCAGGGGACTCCAGCTAGCTTGTTGTCCCTGGTAGGATGGAGGAGGCGGGGAAGGTGGACAGGCACCACACCCTTCCTCCCCAGTCTGGATGTTTCCATTTAAAATGGAGGCAGATTCTGCATCTGTCCCCTCCAGGGGCTGCAGAGGGAGGAGGCCACGGGAGCCCGCCCTGCAGGCTCGGTGTTGAGCATGTTGAGAGGACATGGGTTGAAGAAGTCCTTCGAAGGGGCCAGAGGTCCTCTGACAAGATGCCACTCTCAGCTGGAAGCATAGACTTTCCTTCTTTAAACCAGATTCAACACAGACACCTGTGGCCACTGGGCCAGGACAAAAATTCCCCTCCATTAGGCATCGGCTGCTAAGTAGCAAATATGCCCCGTGTCACAGTAGGTTGAGAAGGGGCTTACAATGGGAACCGCTTGGAGTCGGACAGAGGAATGCAGAGGCAAGTGACAGCAGAGGGAGGCGTCTGTCAGGGTCTCTCCTACAGAAGGGCCTGGATTATTGTGGTCAGCAGGAGGGAGGGCTCCTGCAGCAGGGCCGTCAAGTCTTGCTCAGTCTTAGCTTCTCTAGGTGCGGGCAGTAACTGTTACACATGGACCTCTGTAAGACTTCCGTTAAACAACAAAACTGCCTTTAGAAAGTCACACGGTCTGCCATCTCCTTGTGTGCGACAGTCAGAGGTGTGTGAGCCATCAAGGAACCCTGACAGCACCGACTGGTATAGAGATGCCAGAAAGGCCAAGGGTTCTGCCCGCCTTAGCTCCAGCAGTGGGGCTGGGCACGCCTATTGAGGTAGCTGCTCCATGAACAGGAGGCGTTTGCCAACTGAGTCGTTCACTTGTCTCTTCTGTCAAACATTTTCCTAGTGCCTTGGGGTTCTAGGCCTCTCTGGGGATGCTGCATTGTCCCTGGACCCTCCACATGATACCAGAGGTGATCCATTCCTTCAGGGTCTTAAATGGCCCAGTGTTAAGAAGGGCCTCAGCACCAGCAGAAAGGTACCTTCATAGCTCTTAAGAAGAGGGACAGCTCTGGTGGCATTCTTGAGTGTGCCAAGTCCTGGGTTTCTTTCTCAACCACTTCACGTTGAATTTCATTTGTGTGGGCACACACTCTTTAGGAAGATGCTTTAAACTTATCAATGAACTGTGTGGAGGTCATGGGGAACAGGCAGCAAGGTGGGAAGAAAGGACCAGCTTAGCTTGCTGGCTGGCGCTCTGAGGACGGCACTGCTGTGAGTCCTGCTGGCATAACTGGAGGCCTCTAATTAAGACGATCTGCACTCACCCCGTTGGCCTGGTGCCCACAGGCGCTCAGGTTTCCCAAGGATGGTAGGTACAACATTCAGTGTGCCAGAAGCTCTGCTGGAACACCAGGAGGCAGGAGAACAGGGACTCACTGAGCAGAGAGGGTCCCATCTGGCTGTGAGCCCTACAATCTCAGCTGCACCCCTGCTTGTGCCTTATTCTACTCAGCATCTGGGGCACAAGGGTTATGTGCAGTCTGGGAGTCTGGCACTTGTTACTGTTCAAAGGCGAGAAAGTGAAGAACTGGGAAAGTTGGAGATTTTCTGTTTGCTGCCTGAGGAAGTGGGTGCCACCCATGTGGTCTAGAGGTTCCTGACCTGTCACACACGTCTCTGCTGTACTGTTTGCTGATGCCCAGTGACACCTAGCAAATAGTGAGTGCACTCTTGGTTGCTCCTATTCAAGTGCTGCCATCTGGTGCATGATCATCCAGACTGGATTATTGATACCCTGAGAAATCTTTGATTAAGTGATCCAAGACATTCAGCATTGCGTGGCCATTAGGGACTGATACTGAGATGGGACATGTGATTTTCCTTCCTATTAGCAGAGGTGAACAATGTCAAGTGACTTCTGGGCAGAGGTCTGTGGTCTCCAGCTCCACTGGGGATATCACTGGTCACCTTGCTGGGCCTAAGAGAACCAAGGAAATGAATTGCAGCCTTGGCATCTCAGAGTGGGCGTTCTCCGCATAGGCAACAACACTGATGCGCCGTGCCCTGCAACCTGAAGGCTGGCTTCCCTCGCAGTGAGGCCAACCCCCGAGTGGGACCAGACACGGAAATACTTTTCTCTGGACTTCTGATTCCTAGGACACTTGGGCAGACTGCTTGCTGGTGGTCAACAGATCCTTTGGATCATATTTAATTTATTTATTTATTTGTTTTTGTACTGGGAGTTGAACCCAGGGCCTCGAACATGATAGGCCAGTGCTCTACCACTGAGCCACATCCCCAGCTGGATCATATTTTTTAAAAAAGAAAAAAGATAGGGATAAATGTAATTTTTAAAAAGGATGTTTGAACCAAAATTTTCACTTGTTTTCTAGCTGAAATCCCCAGTCCTTTTTATTGGTGCCTTTTCCCAGTGCTGATCCCAGGAACTTTATCAGGACCAATCCTACTCATTCTTGAACAACAAATACCATTAACCTCAGAAAAACCAAATTTCCTAAAGATGGGGGTGGTACACAGGATCCAGCCAGGGCTTAGATGTGCACAACCCCGAGGAGAGGAGGCAGTGATATAGCAGGCTCAGCCCACCTCTGGCTGGAGCAACTGCCGGATGTTCTCCATGTGCGTCACCTGCCTGGTGGACAGAGGGAAAGGCCTCCAGGACTGTAGTTTCTAGACAAATAATGGGCAAAACCAATGTTTTAGACATTGAGAACACTGCCTCACACAGGTAGTAGGAACAGAAGCCTTGCCTATCTCGGTCTTTAGTAAAACCAAACAAAACTCAACCATGGTGAAATCTGAGAGCAGGCAGGACTGTCCCATGCAGGACACCACACCTTGCCCTGTTCTCCAGGACCACCCTGCCCAGGTGACAAAGGCACATTTGCCTCATCTTCACTCCAGGGAGCTTCTCCAATTAAAAAAAAAATTAACCATCATATTTTAAAAGGCAATGCAAGAAATGACAAAGGGACTGCCGAACGGGCCAGAGGGACACAACACTCGTCAGTTTGTCCCTAAAACTGATCTCACACCCGCAAACAGCCTGACTGAATGCAGGTTGACAGGAGTGGGGGGTGGGGGAGAACACTCCCCGAGGGCCCCTCCTGCTCACCAGACACCAGCCTCAGCCCACCGCGGGTCTTGGGAGGTCTTGGGATCATCCACACCCACCCAGAAATGGGCTTTTCAACGTATGATTTGTGACCATGAAAACGGTGAGCCAAAAGGACACAATGGCCAGATCTCCATAGCTCATCAAATCCTTCTTGAAAACTCTCAATCCTATGATTAAAAACCAGCCCACTGTCTTTCTTGCAATTCAGGAAATGGAACTGAAGTCTTCCAAATAAATATTTCACTGCTTTTTAAATATGTAACCTTTGGCTATATCTAGATTTATAGGATTATAAATGTTAAAAAGTGCTGATTAGTTTTCCAAATTATAAAGGAGTACAACAGTCAAAAGGGTGGGAAGAAGGGAAAGACCAGGTATTTTGAGGTTACTCATTAATCAAATGGCAAATTACTAATGTGATATAAAGATATGTGCACCGATTAACACTGGGCTGGTGAAAATCAGACCCTGTACCATCACTCCCCTTAATCTCCAAGTGCGGACTGTTCACCCTGTCGCCAGCGCCTGAGTACTAGGCACATTCTTAGATGTACTGCTGGAGAAGGGGAAGACGTGGAGAGGAGCATTACCGTCACCCAGCCCTCAGGCTTCCCAGTGTCTGAGACTAAAAGGCTGGAAATCTGTGCAAATCCATGCTGCTCCCATTTCTCCTTGAAAAGTGGTTGCCGTGCATTCACAGAGATCAGTACATGTCCCTGTAGATCTCCTGCAGCAAAGGGTGCAGAGCTGCATCCGACTCTGTCTTTTTGATGGTCTGCACGAGCTGTGCGTGTTCTGTGACCAGCTGCCGGAGGTCCACCATTTTTTGAAGGAGCTTTGGGAAGAGAAAGGCGTCGTCCGGATGGTTGCTCTGCAGGTGGAGTTTGAGCACGTGCACAATGCCCTCCTGCATTTTCTCAATGTGTCCTATGTTGAGAAGGCCAGGACGGTCTGTTCTCGAAGGAAGAGAGAGATGTTCAAGTAAATAATCATCTCATAACTGCTTATCAGCCTGGGGACCAGACACTCCCACCTCACACGGCCTTCAGATGTCAGCCTGACCAGGACCCAATAAGGACGACAGGAATGAGTCATTCCTCAGTAGTCACACAACCAGGACACAGTCCCTCCTTACGTCCCCCTTGCAGGGGACCCCCTTTTGGATCTGCCTGACTAACACCTGTCAGGGAAAAGAACTAAAAGCCTCGGGAGCAGTGGCACATCGTAGTGGCAGGTGACCACTCTCGTACCACGGGAATATGCAGTCCTTCTCTCCCAGCCTCAAGCTCCCCCAGAGATGAAGCAGTGACTGTGTGGGACTTAGGCTGCTGGGTTAAGGACAGCACTGTCACAGGCACCTTCTGACATGACTCAGGTGAAAGAGGAGAGCAAGAGATGAATGAGGCTGGGGTGGACAGGATGCTGAGGAGACCTGGAGTGTGGAGGACTTCCCCTGAACAGTCTCAGCCCGAGTCCTGATCTTGGTCCAGAAAACACTGCCCCATTCACACCCAGCAGGCGGGGGTTGAAGGCCCACTCATTACTGTGCTCTTCAAGCGTGGATAATGAAGGGAAATTTTATCTTCATTTTTTTTTTTACTTGTAAAGTAAATATAAGTATTAAGTTTTAAACAGAGAAATCATTTAAAAGACAGACCACCTCTCTTGTAATTTTAACCCCACCTAATAGATTTAACCTATCTCACTGGACATGGCTAGATACACAGGATTAGTACAGTACTATATCATCCTTTCTACTACGTCTTGATCAAACAAAGGACAGTTATCAATTGTGCATGCCTCTTGCCCTTGCATCATTGCTGCTGGGCCATAGCAGCAATTCCTTCCATCTGACCAGTGCCCAGACAGATGCCAGCAGGTAGAGTGAGGAGATCATGGTGGACAGCACAGCTGTGGCAGTGGGTGACTGCCCGCCCCCCCCCCCCCCACTGGTCTCTGCCTAGGCTGGGCAAGGTCAGCTGAGTTTACAGTAGGTGGATGACTTTCCTAGACTTGAGACATGGCTATTTAAAGAAACATGACACTGAGCCAAAAATCTGGCGTTGCAGAGCAGCTCCACAGAGAGGCCCGATTTCCCTGCCTGGGATCTGTTTCCTCTGGCAGAGCAACACTCGGGATTGCTGCCTGCGAACAACCCCAGTATTTTTCATTGTGAAGTAGCATAAGTGTTACCAAGAGTGACAGCTGTCATACCAACATCTGTATGGCACTGTATAGAACATTAGCTATAGCATGGATAGAGCAACAACAGCTGTGTTGAATATTAATTAGTACTATAGAATGCCATCCTATAGTACCAATGAAATCTGATATGCTTGTAATGCTAGATATAATCACATTACTGTGGAGCATATAAAATCATCATCAATGTTTATATAATATACAACGGTGTACACCATAATATCACACAACACTGCCAGGGCTCCCCCATAACTCCGCTCGGTGGCAGCTCCGGCTTAGGCACCTTCCCCCCTTGCAGTGCCCATTTTGACATAATGGAGCTCAAGCTGGCACTGGGATGACAGTTACCAAGTCCCTCAAGAGAGGAGCCCATAAGTGACTGGACACCAGTGGATTAAGTCGAGTACTTACCTCCACAGCAAATTATAGCAGCCACAAAAAGGGAGATGTCACTGTCGTCCAGCTCCAGTGCATTGAACTTCATGGCGAAGTCAAACTTGGGTTCCATGATGTCACAGAAAGGTTTTCTCAGATTTTTCAGGAATTCCCGTGTTATGAAGCCATTGCCATATGCCACCAGCATCCCATCTTTGTTCATCATGGAGGAAAGCATTGTGAATATGGCCTCATAAACGCCATATTTGAGCAAAGTGACTTGGTCATTCAAGTCCAAGTTTGCAAAGCCTGGAATGGCCTTGGCGAACTCCGTGAGCTCTGTGACGGTCTCCACCGACATGCACTGGCAGCAGTGGAAGAAGCGGACCTCGGCCTCCTTGTTCTGGATGCCATTGGCCACCATCTTGGCTACAAGAGTCTTTTCAGCCATGCACAACGTTTCCATGTCATGGATGACAAAAGGCTGAAAAGAAAGACCCTTACATCAGGCAGGCAGGTCATGATGAGCTATCTGAGTCCTGATATAACTAGGTGCTCTTAGTTATGGTAAACCAGTGAGGAGCTACCAAGTCCAGGTCACAGCCCCATAACTGTGTACACTTTTTAAAAGATGTTAAAACCAAGTTCTGGCGATGGAAGCAGAGACGGTTAGCCACGTTATCAGCATGGGGTGATGTGTCTGGTGAGGCTGAGAACAGGCATGAACCAGCTGCTGGCCAGAATTAACATCCCTGTGCCAAGCAGGAGGAATGACAGCATCTGGGGGATCTGACTTACGGCCTGTCCCACAGCACACATGTGTGCTCACACACACACACACACACACACACACACACTCACCACATCAGTAAGGAAGTGCGGCCAGAAGCATTTCGGGGCCCACCTGGCACACTGAAGCACAGAGCAGCAGCAGCTCAGTGGTTTTGAGAATAGTCTGCCAGAGGCCAGACACACCACTGAACACACCCGGCCCTGCGGCCTGAGTGCTCCCTATTTCTGGGCTGCTGAGCATCGCCAGGAGCTGCAGTGTTGAACCTCAGTGAGGGCTGCTGGGTGGGCCTGCAGCACACGTGGATAGGCTGGGGACAAGCAGGCTGCCTGCGAGATGTTTAAGAACTGGAACTTATAGATAGCACAGAAGTAGACAAAAACCTGACTCCACCTGAGGAAAGGCGACACTACCTGTACTTGTGAGTGAGAGCACATTCTCAGCACAAAATTCAAAGCAGCCAGGCGCTGTGGTACACGCCTTTAATTCCAGCTACTCAGGAGGCTGAGGCAGGAGGACCACGAGTTTAAGACCAGCCTGGGCAACTTCGCAAGGCCCTGTCTCAAAAAACAAACAACAACAAAACTGAAAGCCAACTTTCTAAATAGCTCAAATCTGAATAAGGAAGACAAAACAGTCTCTTTCCAACTTTAACCACAAGCCAGATGGGTGGGCACCATGGTGCACACCTGTAATCCCAGCGACCCAGGAGGCTGAGGCAGGAGGATCACAAATTTGGAGCCAGCTGAGCAACCTAATGAAATCCTATCTCCAAAAAAAAAAAAAAAGAAGAAGAAAAGGGCTGGGGATATGGTTCAGTGGTAAGTGCCCCTAGGTTCAATCCCTAGTATTGGGGGGAAAACATCAGGCCAGATAACCATTGTTTTGAAAAAAATTGGAGCATAGTTATGCTTCACAAAAAAATGAAGCACAGATTTAAAGAATTGATATTCACAGGGTGGACCAGAAAGACACACACAGTGACCTCTGCATCTGTGGGTTCTGCATTCTGCATCCGCAGAGTCCAAAAAAAAAAATTGGATCAAAAATATTTTTTAAAAAAATTGTGTCTGTACTTGAGCTGGGTGCGGTGGCGCACACCTGTAGTCCCAGTGGCTTTGGAGGCTGAGGAGGAGGATCGCAAGTTCAAACCAGCCTCAGCAAAAGTGAAGCAAAAGTGAAGCACTAAGCAACTCAATGAGACCCTGTCTCTAAATAAAATACAAAACAGGGCTGGGGGTGTGGCTCCGTGGTTGAGTGCCCCTGAATTCAATCCCCGGTACCAAAAAAATAAAAATAAAAAATTTGTGTCTGTACTGAGTCTGTACAAGCTTCTCCCTGCCCACCACCCCCAGCAGTGTTGGGGATGAAACCCAGGGCTTTGCCCACGCTAGGCAAGGGCTTTGCTATTGAGCTACACCCCCAATCCCCAGACATTTATTTTCTTGTCATTATTCCCTAAACGCAGCATAACAACTACTTCCATAGTATTTATATTGTATCAAGCATTAGAAATCCTCTAGAGATGACCTTCAGTATATGGGATGATGTGCATAAGTTCTCAGCAAATTCTACCCTATTTTAAATAAGGGTCTTGAGCACCCTGGATTTTAGCATCCATTGGCTTACTGGACTCAGTCCCCCACAAATACAGAGGGAAGACTGTATTTTTGAAGGATAAATGGGAATATTCTCTCAATTACAGGAAAACATACTAGTAGACCACTTTACCTTTATTCAAATAACTGTCATATTTTCTTTCATTTTTCTTTGGTGTCACTGGGGCTCAAACCCTGGGTCTCACTCTACCAAGCAGCTGCGTCCCTGGCCCATAATTGTTTTCTAAAGTACATAAATGAAGGTGTTGAATAAGTAAAGTGGTTCTATGGTTTAAAAAAAAAATTAGAGCAGTTCTGAGTTAAATCTTGGGACCTCCCAGAATCTTCACCATGGCAAATGTGTACTGCAACTCTTCCAGAATGAGGCTAGGTGAGTGGAGGCTAGAGTACAAGTGGAGGAGGGGGAGGAGCAGGGGGAGGAGGGGGAAGGGGGGAGAGGGAGGAGGGGGGAGGGGATGGGGGAGGAGGGGGGAGACTTTTTTGGGGGTGGGGATAGAGCATCTCACAGGACCAGAGTCAGCCCAGCTACATAATTTTTGTGATTTAAAGTAGCAAAATGAAAACGTGGGCCCTCTTTGAGAAGGGATTAAGACTTCCAAGACGCGCTGGGGTTCAATTCCTAGTACTACATAAAAATAAATTAATAAAATAAACCTATAAAATGAAAGAATCATATATATAAGTAAAACTACTTCCAAGTCGGCCTCAGTCAGCCCTGGAGAGTGAAGCTGGCGGGTGAGGCTGGCACAGGACAGCACTGTGTGGAAGAGATGCTCAGGAACAGGCAGAGAATGGAGATGTGAGCTAATGCTGTCTCGATTCGTCTTTATAAAACCATCACTTGGATTCTAGAAAGCAGGCCTCATCTAACAGGCAAAATTGGAAACCATTTGATTGGAAAAATGGTTGCTAACATCGAGAACCTAAAGCTTGGTAAGAGAAACTCTGTTGAAACTCCCTCGAAAGTTTGCCACACTGTATTGATGAACATTTTGTAAGGCGATCTTTTTTTTTTTTTTTTTTTTGTGGTGCTAGGGATTGAACCCGGGGCTTTGTGCATGCAAGGCAAGCTCTCTACCAACTGAGCTATATTCAGCCCCTTGTAAGGTGATCTTTAAAACCCATGCATCTTGTGCTTAATTCTGAAATGAGTTTTTTTTTTTTTTTTGTACTAGGGATTGAACCCAGGGGTGCTTAACCACTGAGTCATATCCCCAGCTCCCTAAGTACCTTTTTCTTTTCTTTTTGTGAGATAGGGTCTAAGTCCTTAAGGCCTCTCGGAGTTGCTGAGATGGCTTTGAACTTGCTATTCTCCTGCCTCAGCCTCCTGAGCAGCTGGGATTACAGATGTGTGCCACCACTCCTGGCTGTAATGTGCTTTTTATAATGATAGATCTGACATCACAGCCTGCCATTTCAATAAAGCATGCTGCAGATTTTGGACAGTGGGAGACAAAAAGTGCCAATTTCCCCAAAACCACTCTGAGGTAAGACCAGAGAGTGCCCCTACTTGACCCAGCACTGTCCCTGCTCACACATTGCTGGGTTCTACGGTGCCCAAAGACATCACTCACGAGAATCAGTCTCTAAAATGTACTTCGACATTGAAAAGTCAGGCCACTGGTCTGTCTGGAAAAAATTAAATGTGAATCCTTGGTAGAACTGCTTTGGGTAAAACTAGCAGGCTCTGGTTATGCTTGCCTATAAATTCCTATACACAGTATTAAACTCCGTGTTCTTCAATATGAAAATGCCGTAAGGGGCAGGTATAATATTTGACCTTAATACAGCAGCAAGCCCACAATATGGTAAGCGGTGACATCCATCAGGAGAAGCAGTTCTGCCCCGACACGCTACTTGGGGACACCTTTACTCCACAGACTCTGAAATGTTGAGGACACGTCTTTCAGAATGACTTTCAGAACCTGACATGAGTGCGATGCCCCCGTCATTACTGTATTCATGGGACTGAATGAGGCTCTGGTTCGTGGGGCTGACATGCAACAGTACTGGGCATCCAGCCGTGTGAGGGCCTGCGTTCAGGCCCCTGCACTGGACACTATGTGATCATGACCTTACACTTTGAATTTCTACAGTCTAAATATTTAGTGCCAAGGGTTTGTTTGGTTGGTTTCACCACTTTTCAGAAGGTACAGCCAGCTCTCCAAACTAAGAGCAGCTGCCTGAGCAAGTGTGTGCATGCCTGAGTGTGCCTGAGTGTGGAGCAGGTGCACAAGCGTGTGCGAGCATGCCCGTGGAGGGAAGCAAACATCCCAGGACAGCTGCTGGCCCTTGAGAGCTCCCGACCCACCTAGGATCGCTCTAAGAAGCTGTTGAAACACCTCTGTGGAAGCCATGCCCAGAGGAGACCCCTGTTCCCTCTTGCCCCTCCACCCTGCTTCCACTGGGTCACCCTCAAGTCAAGGGGCAGCAAGTTTCCCTCCACTCTGGCCCCATCACTAAGGGCCCTGACCATTTTCTGGTACAAGGACCTGAAACCTCAGGGGCCGAGACCAGTCCCAGGTCCAGACAGAAGCAGAAGTTCTCACGTGTCTCCTCAGCTGAAACCCACCTTTCATCAAAGCAGTGTGGCCTCCCTGCAGCTGCCTCCCCTCCCAGCAGTGTCCAGGGACTTTGCTGCAGGTGACTGGTCTGCATAGAGCAAAGGAACGGTCTTCCACAGGCCGTGCTCAGTCCCCTATTTCTAGAAAACCACAGGAGCCTTTGACATGCCACCTGTCCAGCACCTACTTGTCCCCATTAAGGTAGGGAATGGTTTAGGGCCAAGTGCTGGTCAGAGCTTAGGAGGGGGCTGGTGGCTACTCGCACCCGCCCAGCAGATCTGCAAGGAGCAGGAGGAGGACTGCACTGAGGGCCGAAGGGCCACCTTTCCCCAGCACACTGGTCAGATTTGTCCTGGTTGTGCAATTCATGCTCCTCCTGAAGCAGAAGCAGAAATGAAGTCAGCTGCAGGCTTCAGGCCTGAGGCTGGCGGCCTCTCTACAGCTCTGCTGGAGGCTGGAGGCGGCCGAACCTGATGAAGCAGTCACTGAGTATTGGGCTACTGGGCAGGGACAGAGTGAATGCCTGGTCTCCCTAGCAGAGTTCTCACCAACAGATGGGACTGCTTTCTAAATCAGCAAGCTAGAGACTGGGGCCTTCCCCGGCCCCTGGCAGAGACAAAACCAGAACTCTGTGAAGAGTTCTCGGGCAGTGTGTCCTGGTGGAGGGCACCCTGCCAGTCAGGCCTCTCCCAGGCTGGGTGCAGATGGAGGAGCAGAGAGGAGGCCTGTGGTGAAGGCCAGGTGCTCTGTAAGCCTGCCAGCAGATGGGCAGGACCCATGGTGGGACATGACCTGGCCTGGAGCTGACAGTGTGGTCAAATGCAACGAGTGACCTGCAGCTGGAAATTGCAGGGTGCCTGGCACAGAGATGTGTGGGCAAGAGCAGGCATCTGGCTCTTTGCCAAGTGAACCCCAACCTAGATGGTAACCTAGTGCATTTCTCCTGTGTCAGTGTCCTCAAGAGTCTGACTGCCCCAGCTCTGGCCAAGGCTGGGGGAATTCCTCATGGAGCTTGTGGATCTCGGTGGAGAGAAGCAGAGGAAACTGTGGGGACCAAATCAGCATCAAAGATCAGTATTTTATTAAGTGTAAAAGTGACTTTTAAGTGTGCTTCAAATTCTTTAAATTCAAGGGAGAAATGTAAGATCTCAAACGGAAGTTTTGGTTCTCCTAATTTGGGGTTCTCTTAGCCATCTCCGGGACAGAAATGTAAAGTTAAAGGCTACTCCCTCCACTTCACCCTACAATCCAGAAAGGGGCCACCTGGTGTGGTGCTTGCTGGAGACTTTTAAAATCTCTCATCCTATTTGACTGGAGAATGCATGGAAGAATTCAAAGGCTCAGTAAAAGAGAGGTTTGGTTTGGTCATGAAATTAAGCAGCTCATGAAATCCTTTATTTTACTGTGACTAAAAATTCTAGCTTATAATTCCCAATAAGGAATGTTTCGGTATTCATTAACACAGATTAAACCTGTCATACCATGCTCAAAGGGGAAGGCAGAATGACGTGTGACCACCCTAGGACCAAGCCCTGTGAAAGCTGATGGGACACCACTCCTGACATGGAGACAGGTGCATAAGCCTGCAGGGGGTGGGGAGAGGGTACATCTTAGCTGTCCCTAAAAAGGTCCAGAACTATCCACAAAGTCAGCCGAGTTTCTAGAAACAAAGGAGCCTTTCTAGGGCTTCCTCACTGCAGGGAGGGAAGGCAGGAGGTGTTGGGGACTGGAGGGAAGGTGGAAGCCAGTGGGCCAGTTTTAGGGGAAAGGATATGAGGGCATATTTTGAATAAAAAGTGAACACATTAATTTTCTGGCCTCAAATAAAGATTTTTTTTAATGCACCTAAGAAACGATGCTGGCTAGGCATGGTGGTGCATACCTACAATCCCTGCAACTTAGGAGGCTGAGGAAGGAGGATTGCAAGTCTGAGGCCAGCCTGGGCAACTTAGCAAGACCCTCAGCAAATTCGTGAGATCCTGTCTCAAAATAAAAAATGAAAAGGCCTGGGAAAGTGGCCCAGTGATTCAGAGCTCCTGGTTCACTCCCCTGGGGTCCCTGGCAGCACATGAACCAGACCTCTCTCAGTGTCAGCTACACAGCCTTGATGAGCACTTGCTTGCTAGGCGTTCCAAGGTGCACTCAAGCAAGAAGCATTGCTCTAAAGCTACATGTTAGTCTGGGAATGAACCGTCTGCATTCCCACTGCCTTTCATTTGCCTTTGGGATGAACACCATCTTTTCCACACTGAGGTTTCCTGGGTCCCTCTCTACAGCACTGATTGAGGCGTTGCCAGGGGAATACTTGAGACCCTACCAAAGGGCAGCAAAGCCACCTACTGGATTGTGGCCCGTCTTTCCCGCGAGGATGACTCGGGCTTTGACCTTGTTCATTTGAAAGTTCTTCAAGTAGGCCTCGTAAATTCTCTTGGCAAGAGACTTGAGATCTGCAGTTTCAGAATCTTCTACATCATGTTCACAGGTAAGAATTTCTGCTTTCAATTTTGCTTTCTCAGATCTTGGCATTCGTCCAAAACGAATTGCTGAGGTGGGGGTGGGGACAACGGGAAACAAACATAAATAAGCAACGTGGGGAGAAGATCAGGCAAATGTCAGCAGGTTGAGGAGGGCCGGCCAGCAGCTCCTGGTGTCACACTGCGCGAAGGGGCCTTACGGGGGTCCAGCCCACTCCTACTGCCACGCGACCTTCTACCAAGGAGAGAGAAAACAGCCCAGCCTCCAGAAAGCTAGGTTTTTAAAAGAAGCTAGGTTTTTAAAAGCTAGGTTTTTAAAATAAAAGCTAACGCCATCCCTCGCGTCATCAGCAGGACAGCTGACTGTCCTTGGGTGGAGTGGCCTTCATGGTGGGGGTTGAAACGAGTGAGCAGAGACGAGCCTGCGGGAGCCCCTCCTTTACACAACCTGCGCGCGGAAGCCAGCCATTCTAAGATCGCATCTGGCTGAAGCAGAGTGTGACGAACCCCGAGCATGGCACATGCCAAAGCTGGCCCGCACCTCACAGGGAGTGGCCCTCCTGCCACCCTGGTGAGAGCACTGCCCACCATGTGAGGCTTCCAAGACAACTCCGCACAGGTGCTCTGCCCAGCCACTGCTGTGTCCTCCCCACATCTGTGTCCTCAGGCTTCTCTGGATACAGGAAGACTCAGGCCTGGCATGTTCCCAGCATCTCATGCAAAACCTGGTCCATTCTGAGGACTGGGAAGTGGACTGCGGCACGGACAGCGCTGTGCGGGCAGCCTTACCTACCGTTGTGTGACATCCCAACGGACAGGCACTTGTGGAAGCGACAGTACTGGCACTTATTCCGATTCTTTTTCTGGATCTTGCAGTTGCGGTCACATTTGTCATATACCAGCTTTAGCCGGATGGTTCTCCGAAAGAAACCCTGCAAGAAGAATGTGTGGCTCATTAAGAACAGGCATGGCTGGGACACCTTGAGATCTTCACTCACCTGTTCTGTTCATTTGTTGTCTCTTTTTAAATGACCTGTGTTTAGAGAGACAATCTTCTTAAAAGTCTCACATAACTGGGACAGATAGAAAACTTTAGCTTTTCATTGCACTTAAAATGAACAACAATAAATGAGGCAGATTCAAAGTAATTTCAAAATGTCCCATTGTGAACATGCCTAGATCTCTCAAACGCCATATGTACAGAGTACCAAACCTGAGAATGTGTGTGCAGAGCCATCACAAAAGGGCGTGATACTTCAGCAGACCTGCAGGATGTGACAGGTCAGGGTCCTTCTGTAAGGACTGGTCTAGGAGCAGCTGCTGGACCACAGAGCCTGCCTTGTGTACTCCTGGTCCTGATCATGTCTGTCTGGCTAAGATATGCATGGGGTGTGGGTGGCTCCAATGGAGAGGTCCCCTGAATACAGGGATGAAGTGCCAGAGGCTCAGAAATGGTGGCAGAGGAGCTGAGCCCAGGTGCTGCCCTCCTGGACCAGGCACTGTGGGGCCTGAGCAGAAGTCTGGACTCCTGGCGTCGCCAGATCCTCACCTGCTACATGGGAGCAAGAGCCTTACCTGGCCCAATCAGAGGGTCAACAGATAAGTGGGTAGACACGCTCCACATTAAAGCTGGTTTTCTGTCCAAGGACACCCTTATCTCAGTTATGTACAAGCTGAAGTAGAGCAACCTGCCGGACTCTGCGATGGGAGGAGTCAGCCCGTCCCGGGGATCAGTACCCCTCTGCGCCTTCTTCAGGTCTCTCAGCAACAGACATCTGTGTCGGAGACAGCAGTAGGCCCCCCCACCCTCACCCGTGCCACTGTACCTTGCAGCCTTCACATGCGTGGACCCCATAGTGGTAGCCCGAGGCCTTGTCCCCACAGATCCTACACTCGATGTTCAGTGTGCCACTGGGAGGCTCATCCACGCTGCCAGGAAGCACAGGGTAACTAACTGAAGAGGGACTCGAAGCTGGAGAGAGGGTGTCTACAGAAAGAAGAGGAACGTGTATGAACATTCCCGGTGTCACGCCCTGTGGAAGCCAGGCCATTCTGCCGCGGAGGCACATCGTGTGTGGTGTAAGCTGGGCAGCTGCCCATCCTGCGCTGGCCCTGTCCCTGGGCCATCCTCTCTCTGCTCCCTGAGGACCATAGTGCTGGGCTCGGGAGCTGCTGTGCTCTAGTTGGCACCTGCTGAACTGTGTCCTGGGCTGCACAGTGTCACGGTGGCCTTTGACGGGCCTCCGCCTGTGGGCTCCACGTGCCTCTGCAGAACTCCTTCCTTCCAGCAGTTCTTCTGCAACAGTCAACACAGGAAACGGGGGCAGAACACAGGACTAAAACCTCCACGGGCAACCCTGCGAGCATAATCCAGGGGAGAGAAGTGAACTAAGCTGGGACTTGGGGAAGTTAAGAACTTCTGTTAAGAAAATGAAAAGCAAACCACAGACTGGGAGAAAGTGTTCGCAAATCCCATCTGAGACTTATATCCAAAATCCACAGAGGAGCCGTGAACTCAGAAATAAGAAACAAGCAACTCGATTAAAATGGGAGAAAGATCTGAAGAGACACTTCTCCAAAGAAGCAAGACAGACGGCTAGAGAGTCCACGAAGGGAGGCTTCACAGCACCTGTCCCCAGGGAACTGTGAGCCCAAGCAGCGGTGGCACATCACTACGCGCCCATTAGGCTGTTGAGAACTTCTAAACACCTAACAATGGCTGACCCTGGTGAGGACCTGGAGCAGCGGGTGCTTCTGGCTGCTGGTGGGATGCGGCCTGGAGGACCCTGGAGGACTGTGGGGCAGTTTTTGGCAAAGCCAAACAGTCTTATAATGGGAACTGCAGTTCTAGGTACTTGCCCAACTGATTTGGAAACTGTATCCATACAGAGAACCACACATGAATGTTTATAGCAGCTTTTTTATTTTATTTCATTTTTTCACTATTGGAGATTGGACCCAGGGCCTTACATGTGCTAGGCAAACGCTCTGCCACTATATTCCCAGTCCCTTTTACTTTGAGACAGGGTCTCCCTGAGTTGCCCAGGCTGGCCTGGAACTTGAGATCTTCCTGCCTCAGCCCCCCAAGTACATAGGATTTAGGCATGTGCTACCATGCCTGGCTAGTTTTATTCTTAATTTCCAAAATAGGAAGCAACCAAGATGTCCCTCAATAGGTGAAGAGATAGATTGTGGTACATCCATACAACGGAACATTATTCAGTGTAAAAAGACATGAGCTCTGAAGTTGTGGGAGACATGGATGCTCCCTGTCAAGTGAAAGGGGCAATCTGAAGAGCCCTCGTGAGTCCAGGCACACGGTGTTCTCAAAGAGGCTGCACTCTGGTGATGGTCAAAAGGTCAGCTGCTGGCTTGGGGCTGGGGAGGCAGGGCCGAACAGGTGGAGAGCAGGTGCTCTTGAGTGGAGAATGTAGGGGGCAATACATGGCACTGTGCTTGCCAAATCCCACAGAGTTTGACACTTGAGAGCAAACGTTAAGGCAGGAGGAGTCTGGATCCCAGGGTGGAGTGCAGAATGGGAGGAAGCCATCCCACTGAACTGTGTGTGTAAGAAACCCCTCACTAAAGGAGGCGGGGGAACAGGAAACCATAGCCCGTCAGACTGAAGGCACCGGGTCTGCCCAACCCAGTTGACAGAGTGGTCTTCCTAGGAGCACGGGTCAACCATCCAAGGCCACTGTGCAGGCAAGCTGGAAATGAGCTATTAAGTAAGTGGGTGGATGACGGGAGCCAGGTTTCTCTCTGCAGGAGGGTGAGGTTACAGGTAGGCAAGAGGAGGGGTTCAGATGATCCATGTGGTGTGGATTAACGTCACGGGCCGCAGTGTGAACTCATGTTTAGTTTAACATAGATACTGATGGGTGGTGGGGAAGACTGACAGATATGTGTGCGCACATGTGCATTATTTACACAGAGATGGGTGCATGTGGAAAGATGTGCAGATTCGTGTGTATATGCGTGTGCTCATGTATACATATACACATGTCTTTGCTCTTTCAGCTGAGAAAGGTCAGGGTCCTTCTGACACCCTTATCTCAGTTATGACCTTAGAAAAAAAGGTCACCTTTAGAAAAAAAAGACACTTCATCACAACCTGACATGCCCAGAGCCAAAAGTACGTGGGGCACAGAGGGGTTGGGTACAGTCCCCCTCCCACAGTAGACAGTCCCAGAATTTGTGGAGCATCTTCAGGTGCAGCCTCCACTCAGAGGGTCTTGCCTCAGCAGTGAGGGGAGATCAGCTCCCAAACAAGGACTGCCATGGTCCTCTCCAACAACGCTCAACAGCTCGGCCTGAAAGGATCGAATGTTTCCAAGTAACTCAACTGCACCCCAGAAAGCAGCTTAGGAATATAAAAGTACCCACCACCCAACAAAGTTCACCACATGTGGAATCCAACCAAAAACATGACAAGACATACAAGTCAGAAAAATGTGGCCCAGGATGAGAAAAATCAATGAACTGGAAGAAGAACTACATAGGCTAGAATTCCTAGCCAAGAACTGAGCATATTCCGAATGTTCCAAAAAAGCTGGATCAAAGCCCGGCTGCGGGGCCGAGAGAAGGAGGAGGACAGAACCACGACGTCTGTGTGGAGGGCACACGAGAAGCTCTGACACCCAGAAGAAAAGACCAGAAAACCTGAAGACACAGCAGCACTGACTTCCAACAACAAGGTCGTATGAAGACTTTCAGACTCAGGAGCTGGGCCTCCCGACCAGCAGACCCCATGACAAGGAGCACCACAGGAAACCCCCCAGAAGGGAGCCAGGCCAGGTGGGAATGTGGCACACAAGGGCATCAAGAGCACCAGGAAAGGTGCTTCTGTGGTACATTAAGTGACTCTCCTTCTGTTTAAGTGTCCTAGAAAGATAACTGGCCATTCAAGGTAAGCAACAGCAACACGCCGCTACGTTCTTAACGCAGTGGAGATAAAACAATGCCACAAATGCACGAAAGGAGGCGTGGAAGCCTGTGTCTGCAAGGTTCCCACAGCAATGTCAAGCAGGGTGGTGTCACCTGAAGGCAAACTGAGAAGATAAAGATGTGTGCCACAAGCCCTGGGGCAACCACCAGAATAACAGATTTATTTTGTTTTTTGGTGCTAGGGATCAAACCCAGGCTCTTGTGCATGCAAGGCAAGCACTCTACCAACTGAGCTGTCTCCCCAAGCCCCAAAATAATAGTTTTGAATCCAACCCACCACATAAGTTAAAAGAAAAACAATGGGAAAACATACACCAAGTTAAAACATAGGCCATGTTAACAATGGTCAGGAGAAAGTTGCAGTGGCTACATTACTATCAAAGTCGTGATCAGAAGAAAGAGATTTACCAGGGATAAAGCAGATCAGAGATATCATGAAGACACAATAATGCTAAAGGGTTACACATCTAAGAACAGAGCCCCTAAAGCTGTGAAGCAAAGCCCGTAGGACTGACAGGAGAAACACTGTCCCAACCGGAGTGGGAGGGGCCGGCGACCTCGCTCAATTACTGATCACATAAGCAGGGGGACACGGAAGATAATACTACTGGCCAAGTCCATCTGCCTGGTGTCCATGGGACACCCCCCCAGCAACTGCAGAGCACACGCCCTTCTCCAGGGCACATGGGACGTTTACTAAGCCAGCCACACTCTGGACATAAGACGGCTCTTAATAAATTCAAAAGGATTTAAGGCATCCGAAGTATGTCCTCTGGCCACTATGGAACTAAATTAGACATCAATAACAGAAATGGATCTGGAAAATCCTCGAATATTTAGAAATTCAAAAATAATCACTAATTAACCTACAGAGTCTCAAGTCAACCACAACTTCAGGGGCTGGAAAGGAGAGAGGAAGACCCAACATCAGGAGAAGGAAGGAAACAACAGAGACTACAGTGGGAATCCAAGGACAGAAATGCAAAACAGCAAAAAATGATGAAACCTACAGCCAGGGTTTTGAGAGAGCAATGAATTCACAAGCATCTAGCTAGATGAATGAGGAGAGGGAGAAGACACAATTTTGAATATCAGATATTATACCAAAATATTAAATTATCTATCTATCTATCTATATATATATATATATAAATCAGAGAGGCAATATCTCATAGATTCTATACACACCAAAGATCATAAGGGAACAGCATGAAAAACTTCATGCCAATAAGTTCAACAATCTGGATGAAGTGGACACACTCCTGGAAAAACACAAATTGCCAACCCTCATTCAAGAAGGGGGAGAGCAACTGAACGGCCCTCTAAACGCTGAAGACACTGACTAGGTAGGTAGACAAGCCATCCCACAGAGAACTCCAGACCAGGTGGATTTGTCTGTGACATCTCCATGCATGTAAGGGACAACAAACAGTTCTGCAGATGCCCTTCCATAGAACCCAAGAGGATTCCTCATTCCACTAAGCAAGGATTCATCAAGACCAGAAAAACATATTGCAAGAAAAGAAAACTAGGACCAATATCCTGCAGAAACATGGGAATGCAAGGTTGGCTTGATATTTCAAAAAGATAACTCACCATATTGACAACTAAAAAAGAAACACCTTTTGGTCACCTTACCAAATGCACAAAAAGTCTTTCCCAAATCCAACATCGATTCCTGATAAACGCTCATAGCATACTAGGTATGGAAGGGAATGTCCTCACCCTGAGAAAGGGTGTTTGAGAAAAACTAGCTAACATCACATCCAGTGGTGAAGACTGATGCGTTCCCCCTAAATAGGGAACAAGGAGAGGATGTTTACCACTTCTACTTAACTTTGTGTGCTAGAATTCTAACCCGTGTGATAATGTAAGAAAAATGAGCAGAAGACATCCAGCTGGAGGAGGAGGCAGAGAGTGTAACTATCTATGTAAAAATCCTGAAGAATCTATAAAAAAGCTACTAGAACTAACTAGTGACTTAGCAAGGGTACAGGATACTAGGTCAATGTCTAAATAACAGCTGCATTTCTATGTATATGTATGGAAACAAACTAATACAAATTAAAATGTAGCTCAGTGATAGAGTGCTTGCCCCGTACATGTGAGGCCCTGGGTTTGATCCTCAGCACCACATAAAAAAATAAGTAAATAAAAATAAAGATATTGTGTCCATCTACAACTAGTATTTTTAAAAAATTAAAATGTAAAAATAAATGCTGTTTACAATGGCACCAACAATATGAAATAGAGATAAATCTGACCAAACAAGTGAAAAGTGTATACTAGAAACTAAAAAATGTGCTGAGAGAAACTGAAGAAGACCTACATAAGTAAGGAATAATCATGTGTGTGGATCTGAAGGCCCAAGGAAGATGTCAGTTCTCCCCCACAGACTACAGATTCAGGACCTTAATAGGCTTTTTGGGTCAGAAATGACAACTGATTCTAAAACGTGCCTGGAGGGCTGGGCTCTAGCTCAGTGTCAAGGCGCTCACCTAGCACGTGTGAGGCAGGGGTTGGCCCTTAACACCATGTAGATATAAACAGTACAGGCATGCTGTCCATCTACGACTAAAAAATAAATAAAAAGGTACATGGAAATGAAAAGAATATGGGCTGAACAAAAAATATTTGGATAAGAAGAATAAACTTATTTCTGGCGACTTCAGGGTTTCTTATAAAGCTACAGTCACATGAGGACATTGTAGGATCAGTGTCCAAAGAAACAAACAAACCAGGGAGTTGCATAAAGAGCTCAGAAATATCTGATCAACAATATATAATAAACTGCTCTTCACAAAAGTACAAGGAAATTTAATGGGGACAGTAGACTTTCTAATAAACGGCACCGAACAACTGCAAATGAGAAAGCAAGCAAAGAAGGAAGAAAGGAAGGAGGGAGGGAGGGAAGGAAGGAGGGAGGGAAGGAGGGAGGGAGGAAGGAAGGAGGGAGGGAAGGAAGGAAGGAGGGAAGGAAGGAAGGAGGGAAGGAAGGAGGGAGGGAGGGAGGGAGGAAGGAAGGAGGGAGGAAGGAAGGAAGGAAGGAGGGAGGGAAGGAAGGAAGGAGGGAAGGAAGGAAGGAGGGAAGGAAGGAGGGAGGGAGGGAGGGAGGGAGGAAGGAAGGAGGGAGGGAAGGAAGGAAGGAGGAAGGAGGGAAGGGAGGAAGGAGGGAAGGAAGGAAGGAGGGAGGGAGGGAGGGAGGGAGGAAGGAAGGAGGAAGGAGGGAAGGAAGGAGGGAGGAAGGAAGGAGGGAAGGAAGGAAGGAAGGAGGGAGGGAGGGAGGGAGGAAGGAGGGAAGGAAGGAAGGAGGGAAGGAAGGAAGGAGGGAAGGAAGGAGGAAGGAAGGAAGGAGGGAAGGAAGGAAGGAGGGAAGGAAGGAAGGAAGGAAGGAGGGAGGGAAGGAGGGAAGGAAGGAGGAAGGAAGGAAGGAGGGAAGGAAGGAAGGAAGGAGGGAAGGAAGGAAGGAGGGAAGAAGGGAAGGAAGGAAGGAAGGAAGGAGGGAAGGAAGGAAGGAAGGAAGGAAGGAAGGAGGGAAGGAAGGAGGAAGGAAGGAAGGAAGGAAGGAGGGAGGGAAGGAGGGAAGGAAGGAGGAAGGAAGGAGGGAAGGAAGGAAGGAAGGAAGGAGGGAGGGAAGGAAGGAGGAAGGAAGGAAGGAGGGAAGGAAGGAAGGAGGGAAGGAAGGAAGGAGGGAAGAAGGGAAGGAAGGAAGGAAGGAAGGAAGGAGGGAGGGAAGGAGGGAAGGAAGGAGGAAGGAAGGAAGGAGGGAAGGAAGGAAGGAGGGAAGGAAGGAAGGAGGGAAGGAAGGAAGGAGGGAAGAAGGGAAGGAAGGAAGGAAGGAAGGAAGGAAGGAAGGAAGGAGGGAGGGAAGGAGGGAAGGAAGGAGGAAGGAAGGAGGGAAGGAAGGAAGGAGGGAAGGAAGGAAGGAGGGAAGAAGGGAAGGAAGGAAGGAGGGAAGAAGGGAAGGAAGGAAGGAAGGAAGGAGGGAAGGAAGGAGGGAAGGAAGGAAGGAAGGAGGGAAGAAGGGAAGGAAGGAAGGAAGGAAGGAGGGAAGGAAGGAGGGAAGGAAGGAAGGAAGGAGGGAAGAAGGGAAGGAAGGAAGGAGGGAAGAAGGGAAGGAAGGAAGGAGGAAGGAAGGAAAGAGGGAAGGAGGGAAGGAAGGAAGGAAGGAAAGAGGAAGGAAGGAGGGAAGGAGGGAAGGAAGGAAGGAAGGAGGGAAGGAAGGAGGAAGTAGGAAGGAGGGAAGGAAGTAGGAAGGAGGGAAGGAAGGAGGAAGGAAGGAAGGAAGGAGGAGGGAAGGAGGGAGGGAAGGAGGGAAGGAAGGAGGGAGGAAGGAAGGAAGGAGGAGGGAAGGAGGGAGGGAAGGAGGGAAGGAAGGAGGAAGGAAGGAAGGAAGGAGGGAAGGAAGGAGGGAAGGAGGGAGGGAGGGAGGAAGGAAAGATAGTTTGATCCACATGCAAAAATTAAGTCAATGGATCTCAGCCTTAAGATGTGACCTTGGGTCAGGCATATTTCTTAGCTGTGACACAAAAAACACGACCCATGAAAGAAAATACTGGAAATAAAATCGGAAAGAAAATAAATTGGACTTCAACAGAAATCAGCACTGATTTTTTTTCTTTAAGGTACTGGGGATTAACCTCAGGGACACTTGACCACTGAGCCACATGCCCAGCCCTATTTTGTATTTTATTTAGAGATGGGGTCTCACTGAGTAGCTTAGTACCTCGCTTTTTCTGAAGCTTTGAACTCGCAATCCTCCTGCCTCAGCCTCCTAGGATTACAGGCATGTGCCACTGCGCCTGGCTCAGTACTGCCTTTTGAAAGGTCCAGCTAACAGAAAGAAAAGACACACCACAAACTGGGGGACATTTGTAAATCCCATATCTGATAAAGCAAATAAACTCCCAATAGTCAATAGTGAGAAAAGAAACAACCAACTAAAAAATGGGGAAAATATTTGAACAGGAACTTCACCAAATAAAACAGAGAACAAAGAAGCACAGGAAAAGATGTTAGTATCATTTGTCATCTGAGAAATGCACACTGAAAGTACCACAATGAGATGCCATTTCACAGCTCTCAGGGTGGCTCAAATTTAAAAGGCTGAGTCCATCTACCGTCCATGAGGTGTGGAGGAAAGGCAGAGCACTTCAGAAAATGTCTTGGCAGTTTCTTAAAAAGTTACACAAACACAAGTCACAGCCATTCTGTTCCTAGGTATTTACCAAAGAGAAACGAAAGCAGATGTCCACACAGAGCCTCGTGTGTTCACAGCAGCTCCACCTGCAATGGCCGCAGACTGGACATGACCCAACCTTCACCAGCAGGTGCTTGGACTAATAAGTTGTGGTCGATCCATGCAACAGGTAAAAAAGAACGAAGTTCTGACACGTGCACAGTGCAGACGGATCTCAAAGGAATTCTGCTAAGCCAGAGAAGTCCAACTGCAAAGTAAGATCCCATTTATATAAAATTCCAGAAAAGACAGACTAACCGCGAGTGAGGGATCCGTGGTTGCTCAGCACAGGAGGGAGGCAGGGAGTGGGGGAAGAGGAGCTACGAAGGAGGGCCAGTAAACTTTGGGGTGACGGACAATGTCACTACTTTGATTGCGATGATGATTTCACAGGGGTGTGTGTGTGTGTGTGTGTGTGTGTGCACGCACACAACAAATTTTATACTTTAAATGTATGCAGTTTGTCATAGTCAATTATATGTCAGTAAAGCTGGGGAGAAGAAGGAGGAAAAAGATACCGGCTGAGTGAGCCAGCTCCCCACCTGGTCTTTTAAGTAAAGTATGAAGTGAATATATTTTACATACAGTCAGTCCTTCTACATGAGCAGCTTACATAACTGCAGAAATACTGTCCAAAGGATCAGGTCAGATACAAAGATGAAAAATCTAATTCACGAATAAGAAATCATCTTTAAGAACTGTTGGGGAGGGAGATAGAGTGGGTCTCACGCAGCCACTGCCCTAAAGGCCAGTCCAGAAACCAAGGGCCTGTGTCCAGCACTCCAGTGATCATTATTTCTAAGTTCCTTTTCTTAATTTTTTAAAAAAATATTTATTTTCTAGTTGTAGCTGGACACAATACCTTTATTTCACTTATGTATTTTTATGTGGTGCTGAGGATCGAACCCAGGGTCTCACACATGCGAGGCGAGCGCTCTACCACTGAGCCACAACCCCCCCCCCCCAAGTCCAGTACTCTCTGTCTCGCCCCACTGAAGACCCTCCAGGAGCCAGAGAAATGAGAGAAGATGGGGAAACACTCGGATCCAGGAGCCAACACCAGGGGTCCCCGAAGGTGAAAGAGCAGAGACCAAAGGCTGCCAGGGAGGACCTCTCTGTGTTCCCTGGGGACCCGACATCTCACACTCAGGGTGGAAGCCCACACCCTGTTTACCCCCACGAGCTGCTCCAACTAGTCCAAAGCCACTCCCCTTCATCCCCAGCAGCTGTGTGCGGTCAGTTCCACCCCTGATGGAGCTTTCCTCCAACTGAGGATGCGGGTGGCCTCACTGGCCTGGGGTGGCGCAGACGCTGCCTGTCGAGACTAATGGCCCCATGGTTTCTCCCTTCCCAGTGATGCTGCAGGTTACCTGAGCAGACTCCCTTCTTACTCCCATAGACCTGTGTCGCCTGATACCTGTTGTGGTTCTCAATGTGACATAGAAAGTAGAGATATGGTTAATACTGATTTCCATATTTAAAAAAAGGAGTCACCTTTATTACAATAGGAATCTCTGCTTTAAAGAAATACACATGGAACTTTAAAGGTGCCGCCGACTGTCTTCACTGAATTCCCAGCCTTGCTAGATCTGTGCACAGCATTTACAAGAAGGCATATATGACAAGCAAGACGTGCCCCAAATCTTCCTGGTCCCCATGGCTGTGATGCGTTATCACACCAAGGTTTCTTTTCAAAAAGGCGTGACTTCCCGTGAAAGAGAACAGCTTTCTCTACAGAAATGATTTCTAGATCAAGCTTTCCAGGACGCAGCACACTTACCTGTGATGACAGATCCATCTGACCCAGGACCGCTTCCTAAATACTGGTATTCTGTGAAACTGAAGCTTCCAGAACTGTCCTCCCCGATGGACTGAGATATGTCTTGAATGTTTCCCATCTCTTGTAGGAATTCTTCAGATAACGGGCTTTCCAGGCCATCAGCCTCGAGCGGAGAGAGGGGGCAGATGGGGCTCTCCATGTCCACCATGTTGACTAGCTGGAGCTGGTCACCCTCAGCTCTGACCTGTAGGAGGAAGGAAGTCATCAGCGAAACTAACAGAAGAGATCTGGGTTTTGTTTTCAGGTGAAAACATTGTTCATCGCTGAGGACGAACCTGAAGTCAGAATCCGAACAGTAACTCTGTTGGCATCTTTGAGAAGCACATTGAGACAGGATCTTCAAACAACCAAGGTACGAGGGGTCCACCTGTGCAGCCAGAGCCAGTCACCGCTTCCCACCCACACACCACAGTGAGCCACGGCTGGGGACACAGGTGGACAGAGACACAGTCCCCGCTCCTGGAGCATCCCTTCTTGGGGACACAGATGGGAGGCAAATCAATGTGAGGTGGGCTTCCTAGTGGACAACAGGAGAGAGTGGACGAGGGGTGGACACAGGGGAGGCAGGAAAGCCAGGCTGACCAGGGCACGGTGGGGACTGGGGCGAAGGAGCCAGCTGTGCAGGCCTCTTGGGAGAGAATGTTCCAGCAAAAAGAACACCAAGTGCTGGGGCGTGCTGGCATATTCCAGGGAGAACAAGGAGGCCACGGGCTCCGGCAGAGGGACGGGGAGGGCCGAGCACTCAGTCCCTGAGTGGCACATCACATTTGCTCCTGAATGTTCTCCACGTCCCCACAAAGGTCACTCATGCAGGGAGTCCTGAAAAATGATGGCAGGGGAACGCATACCTTGGGGAGGCGTCAAAATCTAAGTGGGCAGCCCCAGACAGTGCCAGAAAACTGCGCGTGTGCACGCACGACAGAACGGTGGTCCTCCTGTGCCAGTCTGCACCGGCTCTCACCCCGGCTTCTTAGCCCACTTCCTGGCGCCTCCAGACCCAGGCCCAGTCCTGGGCACCCATTCCAGCTGTGGAAGTTGTCCCTGCTGATTCTGCACTGGGCCCCCACCCTCTGCCCTTGTGGGGGGTCACTGGCCATCACTATCACCCCACCACTCCCACCTTTGCTTTCTGTCCACCTCCCTGAGCCCAGCCGGCTCACCAACCATCCACCTTGGCTGACTGGGAGACGTTTAGCTTCTGGAACAGTTTTCCATCTGCAAACGGTCACAGGAAGCCCACCGCTCGCCTCACAGAAAAGGTACCAGGAGCTGTGAACTGCCATGGGCCGTGGCTCAACGCAAGGCAATGTGTCACCTATGACCACAGTGTGCCCGGGTCTTCTCACCGAGTGACGAGCACTTTGCAGAGCTAGCGCAGGCCCAGGAGTGCACCTGGGAGCCGCACTTCCGCACTGCAGGTTTGCTCACACAAACAACGACTTTAAGTGCAAAGATGCTGGGAAGCTGTGGCTCCCTCGGGACAAGTCACACATTTTTGTTAAATTCACCTCTCGTGCTTGGAATTCTGACAAATCATCCTAGGTGATAGTAACACAAGGGGAAAAATAACAGGGAATCATTAGTGTTTTTGCAGGATTTAGAAAGCTTCCTTATTGACCACAAAAACCATGCTGAGGATCTGCACCTGTTTTCTATCATCATTTGGGAGGTGGTGCGGGGTCAGGCCCAGGGCCCAGCATGTGACGCACTCCCTCACACCGAGCTGCACCTCGACTCTTCCGGGATATTTGGTTGTGCTTGGATCTGATGGAAGACTCCTTCAGGCAGTAGGCAAGATAATGGGTAACAAGCACTACGTGGCCTCTTTTCACCATGAACAGAAAAAGTTCAAAAGCCACAGTCATTGACTCAATATATGGGCCATAAAGTTCATCCTTCATGAACTTCAGCTGGCGGAGTCTGTTGGCATGGCTCGGGGCGCCCCTGATTCCACCCTACCAGAGGCTCTCCTCCGCAGCTGCAGATGCTCACTGAGTTGCTGTCCCTCCCCCAGAACATTCCTCGTCCTGGCAGGGACATTCCAGCAACACAGGCTGCTTCCTCTGTCTGCCTCTGGGGAGTCGGGAGGTTCTGAATCTTACGATCTGACCTCTCAGTGCTTTTAAAACATAGCGGGTCTACTCAGGGAAACGCTGGTGCCGCTGTCAATGAGCTGGACAGACAAGGGGCGGAGGACTTGGCCTGAGCTGTGGCAGGAGGGCCGGGCAGTCGCACAGGTCACTGAACACAGTGGCCCTTCTTCCTCCAACCAGAGCAGATGAGAGTGCTTTTCCTCTGAACGAGTCCCTCAGATAGCAGAGGTCCCGAGGCACACCCCAACCTGCATGCCCTGCGGCTCCAGCACACCCTGGCTTATTCCAGGGGACAGTCCCCTGCACTTCCATCAGTGCCCACAGAATGCTGCCATGGCCTGGTCCCTTGAGAACAGCAAACGAGGCCAGCCAGTGACGGTGCCCCATGCCTCCAGAAGTGCTCTGGGGGACAGATGATAAGATTCAGTCATGGAACATTCCTTTGGGAACCGTGGAGCAGAGGATGAGCAAACCACAAGACGACCGAAGCGCAAGAGCAACAGACGCAGGTGCAGGTAGAGGCCGGGGGTCTAAGGTCCTTGACAGCCTTTAACACCAGGAGCTGTGCACACGGCCAGGGCTCAGGTGCATGAAGAATGGGCTAAAATGAGCTGTTGACGGTGTGGCGAGCACTTGGGTGAAGCCACGGCTCAGCCCCTTCTCCTCTGAGGACCCCAGGCCTGGGGCCTATGCTGGTGCAGCCCTAGGTGTATGTGGAGGTGTCCCCTCTTGTGCCTGTCCCTTCCAGGGGACTGTGAAAAGCCCACGGGCCTGGTGAAAGCAAGAAAAACATCCATCTCCTCTTTACATATGTACTTCCAGCTGGGCCCCAACTGTGTGGCAGGCGACTGGAAGCTATTCACACCACCTAGCACAGAACAAGCACTCGTGAACGGTTGCTCCATTAGCAGCCCCGTGAGGGTCTGTGGGTGCTCACCTGGGGTCTGTATGGCTGCCACGGCCTGAGACCCCCAGACAGCAAAAATACAGGGACATTTAGAACAAAGTCAAAGGGATTCCCTGTTGGAAAAGTGATCCATGATTTGCAGAATGGATCAGCCCTGAAATCGTCACAGGGGCTGAAAAAAGCCCACAGAGGGGAAAAAAATCAGTATAACCCCGAAGAGCAGGTCCCATGCCAGTGGTCAGACCCTTGAAGAGCAAGGGGGAGAGCAGAGTGCTCTGGGTTAGCCCTCTGTGCTGAGGGTTTGACAGGCTGGCTTACCAGGGACCTGGGCTTTGCATGGGAACTAGCACATAGTACATGCTCAATAAAGTGCACAGCAAAGGAGAGGAGCGAATTATTCATCTGACTCCCTTAGAAACTATGACCTGTAGTCCCAGCTATGTAGGAGGCTGAGACAGAAGGATCATGAGTTCAAGTCCAGCCTGGGCAACTTAGTGAGACCCCATCTCAAAAAGAGAGAAATTTCATCACTTGGGTGGAATAAAAAAAGACTAAGTGGGGCTGGGGTTGTGGCTCAGAGATGGAGCACTTGCCTTGCATGTGTGAGGCCCTGAGTTTGATCCTCAACATAAAAATAAATAAATGAACAAAATAAAGGTATTGTGTCCATCTACAACTAAACAAACAAACAAACAAACAAATAAATAAAAGACTAAGGGGAGCTGAGGCTATGGCTCAGTGGTACAGCACCTGCCTGGCACCTGTGAGGCACTGGGTTGGATACTCAGCCCCACACAGATAAAAGTTATCGTGTCCACTGAAAACAACAATACTTTTTTAAAAAAGACTAAGGAGAAGTCACTTCCCCTTGGCTCCCTCAGGGCACCCACCGTGTCCAACCCATCCTCACTCCACCTTATAAAATGGACTTTTCCTGGACCTAGAAGCACTTGGTACATATTTTCAACAATTACATATTAAGGGGCTGGGGTTGTGGCTCAGCGGTAGAGCGCTTGCCTTGCACACGATGGCGCCGGCTTCGATCCTCAGCACCACATAAAAATAAGTGAGGATACTGTGTCCATCTACAACTAAAAAAACGTTTTAAAAATTATATATGAAGTAGCAGGGGCTTGATGCTGCCCGACTGTGAAAACAGTTCTACATGCTGTAGGATCAGATCCCTCAGGGAAAGAACAGCTGGGAAGGTCTGGAGCTCTCCACCCAGAACTCACTTGCCATGACACATTCGGGTGAACAGCTGCGTTGGTAGGTCCTTCCCCTGGTCCTCCTGCCACTCACCCTCCCTCGGGGCACTGCAGGAGTCCCTCTGCTCGCTCTGCTCTGTGTCATTACACCACCCTACAGGAGCCTCTCTGGGACCCCTTGGCTAGAGGGAGTCTCCTGCGCCTTTGGAGAGCAGTTTAATGACAGAAGGTGGAAGTCTCGTCAAAGGAGCAGCGATGGACGGCCACCAGACACAGGTCTTTCCCTTTTCCACCCGATTCCCTGCCTCGCCAGAGTCTGTAGGCATTTTAGATTTTCATTTCGTATTTAGAAGTTCTTTGGCTCAATTTGTGGGCCACGTGCCCAAATAACATTTCAGAAAAGACAAACAAACAAAAAGCTGCAGTGCCCCCTGAACCTTCACCTAGTACCCAGGGTTCTGGAAATAGATTAATCATTAGCATCTGCACAATGATTAACATGCCAACCGTCAGTGCAGAGAATGCCGGGCAACACCCTTCCAACAGGGAGCCAGGGACAAGGCGTTTGAACACATCCAATCTAACGTGTTACACACAGCTTGCGCATCACCTAGCTGGAGCTACAGGCATCTAGATCTTTCCCGACGATGCTGAAGGCGCTGAACTAGAAATTCTGTTGGCATGTGGAAAAGCCCGTGGTGGCGTGAGAGAGCAGCTCCGGGGCTCAGGCCTCAAGAACTTCAGGAGGCAAAGGCACCTTCCCATCCACTTCCAAGACACCCACCCTGTGATGGCGTTGTCACTGCCGTTTCAGTCCCAGCCCTGCCCCCCAGCTTGCTGAAAGCTGCGGGCTCTTGTTTGTCGATGTCATCTCACCCTGTGGATGGTGGGGTCAAAACAACCAGAGAAAAGTGGCACGTCTGGGCACGTCTGTGCCTGTGCGATGGAGGTTGGGTGAGCCGTGAGCCTGTCCCAG